GTATTCTAGAAACTATCTCCCGCCGTTCGCGACGCGACGCAACGCTACTTACTACGGGGGTCTGGATTTCGGAGTACCGTCATGGTGGTACATTAGGGCCGGAAACATGCATCTCTATCTAGTATTTTTATCCACTTGTGTACACACGCGTTGAAATGGCGTGAGGGTATTACGGTGCATGAAAAGAAAAAGAATCATCGGACATGAGTAACTACCTAAATTATAATAAGCAGCCCGGGAGGAAGAGTATGCGATTTAAGGCCGTATGCAACGTTTCCGGTTCTGCCCTGACAAACCCGGAGTGTTCAGTGTGTTACCCGCATCCCTACGTGTATTCGCCGTCATTGGCATATAAGTATGCAGGTATTTCACGGAGAAAAGATGCATATACCTACATATGCTCTCTCTGCATTAATAGACCTCGGGTGGAACTGCTGTATAACGATCCTCTTTAACCTGTAAGCTCCGCGATCACTCACGTAACATTAACCCTCGATGACATCTGCCGTGGCCCGTCTGGCGTAAGCCAAATGAGAACCGTTCTATGCCCCCCCACTCCTGGTTCGCCGCCCTCTTTTTGTGGCGTCTTCTCAAACGATTTGTCGCAGACATTTCCCTCAGCTACCTCTTATGCGTCTTGGCTTATACTTGATACTTGCTTGGGAAACCAGTTTCCTGCGCATAAGTTACCGCAAAGAGTATCGTGTCCGCGCTGCCGAGGTAAGAGGTTACGTCGAAGTAGTCGGTTAGAATACGGGGTACCCATTGAATTAAATTCTCTATCCATTAGCTCCAAGCCATCAATCTCCTATTCGTTAGGAATGGCCATACGAGGCTTGAGTGTAGTTCGAGGCCTGAGCAGATAGATCTGTAAGGACAATGGAAACCAACGCTATGTCGCCAACCCGGAACATGGGTACCTAAATATCCAGTATTAGCTGCCGTAGCTCGAGATAATAGGTAGCCCAATGTGTCGAGCCGGCCAGTTAGCTTCAATTCTGCATCTGTGACTGCGTACTTTCTTGCTAATTTTCCTAATGTCTCTTCTTCTGCAGAAGACAGGCCCTTCGTGCTGTAGGGGATATGTGATAAACCCTAGCTAGAGCCGCAAAGGGAGCCGTTAGATGCGGATTAGCTTCTTCATTCGCTCGGAAGGCTGTTACGGATACGCGAACCGCCTTCGCTTGTTAGTGTGAGATAAGGAACTACGGGGAGAGTGTGATATATGTCCTTCTAAGCCATTTTCACTTCTAGCTTACTAGCATTTTGGACTTTGAGCTCTAGTCATCGTCTTCATTATTCGTGGGCGGACTATCCCTAATGCTTGTTACGACAGATATACAGACGGAAAATGTAAACTTGATATGATTCATAATTACTCCTTGTCGTCGAACGTAGTATTTTATCAAGTTTAACAGTACTCCTTGTGCAATCTCTTCTTCTAATTAAATGTATTTTAACCCCGGCCACGAATAAACCTTGCTCTTCTCAAGTTCTCATACTTAATCCAAAGGCTTGTGACGCTAAAATATAGGTATAACTAGGGGGTTGCCGAACACTTGGTCATAGCTAACTTAGCCTGGAGAACTAGGACTAGTCGGTTGTCTGCCTTGCAGATAATATGGTTGACATCTGATGAGCTGTGCGGCTCTTAGTAGATAATTTGGTTGCTAGCCATTAGAATGTTTTATGAATTTCGTCTTATTACTCGCCGGGGATAGCCAGTAGATATTTACTTAGTAGGCAGAGTCGCAAGTTACCCTGATACAATACGAGGTGGTTGTTGCGCTAACGTGTTATAAGTTGCTTGATACACTTTCGATTTCGCTCGCTATAACGGAAAACGAAAACGAAAACGACGCCCGTACAACTATAATAAATTATTTAAATGATCTTCGCGGGTAATGTACCGACAAACCAATGAGCTGTAGCTGTGCTAGTATAAACGGTACTAAAAGGATTGCAGAATGAGTTAAAAACTCATAAAAACTCACTTTGATTACGGCATACCAATGTAGGTGATCAACTCTCACCCCTTAGTCCCCCATGATAGTAGCAAGTCTCTATCCGCAGAGCCTCCATATTTTCACCATCCAATGAATCTTACTATTTTGTTCTAAGCGTTATTAGGGCTAGACGCGTCTTATCCATAGGCGAACCCGTACCATTGCCCCCTTTCTTTACCCCATCCTCCTCTTTTATGCCACCAGAAAAGATGAAAGACGCTGTTGGCAGTGCGGTGTAACGAGGAAAAGTAGAAGCGTAAGAATTCATGTCACGTATGGTTATCCTCGGCTATATCGCATACGTACCTAGAATCTCCTTGCTGGCCGTTTTTATTCGTCCTCGTCCCCTCGATCTCAGCCCAGTAACTATACCCTTATGGAGGTGATACCGTCTTAGGAGCCGCGTAGGGTAGCTTAGTGTACTGGGGGTTGCACGGAGGAGGGCCTGCGAGGGCTAATGGTTGGCATTTTACTGCTAATTACTAACTAACTCGGGTATCTTAGGTACGTTTACCTGGCTCTCCTAGCGAGCTCCTGTAAATCCTCCCTGTATGTAATTACGAATCATGTAAGGAGAACTTTGGTGGCTTTTATATGGCATGGCACTAAGAGGATCGATCCAGCGGCTCTGGGGATCTCGCTATTGGAAATTCCAGGGCCACACTTAGCGTCTAGCCTAACTGTTTAAGCCCCTAAACATTCCCAGTTGGTCGTATGGCGACGAGTATTTACTTCCAACAACGCTTTATTCGTGAAGGCCACGTGGCGGGCTGGGTTTGTGATACTTTCTCTATAGTTGTATGTAGCAATGCTATACCTGCCGTATCTGACATACCTGAACATCGAAAGCTTCCGTGAATAAGTCCATCATCGTCATCATTGCCGTTACCTACAACATACGCACGTATCAAATACCGACAGGGATCCGGGTATCTAACCTTTAGGGGTATACATTACCTACTCTTTCAACAATCCGGGATGCCTAGGCTAGATTAGCAGTTATTATATCGGAACATCCCTGTGTATCATCGGCAGAGGTACCGACCCACCAAGAAACAGTAACAATAAGTTCTAATCCTGGTCCCGGTCGATGTTCACGATAGACAGGGAACTAATCAATGAAAATCTGTTCTAGCCTACCGACAAGAGACGGCATAGCCTAGTACCTAGATTGTTAGTGCAGCGCGTTCGGCTCTCAAAACGCCCAATTTAGCCCTAGGGGAACGGGTAGATGTTGCGGGTTCCCTATTATAGGGCTAAGTAGGTAGCCCAACAGCGGAGTTCCCAGCCCGTGCGCGATTTTGACAGCGTGTAGCATGATTATCCCTATAACATCGCACCGCCTGATCCCAACGCACGGCAAAGAGGCGGAGGACAGCGCCAGGATCGGTGGCTCGTCGCACATACGTACTTACTTAGGTACCTAGGTATGTACACATCATTGCCTACAGTAGCATAGCCGTCTAAGTGGTTCGCTGGCTACCGAAAAGTCCCGAGACAGCGATGCCCTTAGCACAAAGCCTATACTGTAGATCTGTACCGCGAAGTCGTAGCAGAAGAGTGGCGAAGGAGAGGCTGTCCACGTTCCGGGGCGAAAAGAACAACGGGAGCGGTCAGGGGCAGTGCTATGTAGAACGACTTCTTTCTTCCTCTCGGGTAGCGTCTTTCTATCTGCCTCCCATCTCAATACATCACAGAGATACGTGTGGATACTTCTGTTCGAGAGGGCTAGTCTTGTGATACGTGAACTGGGGCAGTGATAATTCCGAGTGCCTCAATTTCTCTCATTTTGCACGGTACGTAGTAACAACATTGTTGATTCTACTCGTACTAGATTATCAAAGTGCTAGTCGACTTGCAAAGTATTGTGCCTCAAGGTAGTAAACCAACGGCATGGCTTAGGAAGAATCCGAATCGAGCCGGTAGTAGGATGACTGGACAGAGAGAATTGCTCACAGCCTATGAAAAGCTGGACTAGTTACACAGCGTCTAGTCGTTCTGCAGAGAGGCAGTTATTAGTTTCTTACGCTAGCCACTATTGTGCTTTGTGGTATGGATACCTATGGCTACCCCATTACCTCCTTTCGAGATTGCGAAGTGGATACCCATTTCTAGTTAGTATCATAGCCTTTATATACCGTAGAATGTGAGGGAAGATAGAGACTCGGTTTACCTCCCGCAGGAATCGCGGGGTGTAGTGGCTAGCCGTTGCAATCGTGCCCTAAAGGTTGACCGTCAAAACGGTCTCGACGCGAATGAAGCTATTTAGGAAATGAAGAGCCATTTTCGACATATTGCTATCCTAGAGCCTATACCCTATTCTCGCAGTTCGCGGGGAATTTTGCATCCCCTTGCTTTCTGTATAGTGATATCGCGTCGCTAAAGTGTGACAAGACAATATCTACGTAACTCCAGACCGCATATGCCTATATTGGTCAACTTTACCTACCACAACTGGCCTAGCCTAGATACTCTATGATGGGTAAGTTATAGTGAGTCTTTTTTTCATTGCTCTTTATACCGTACCGAAAGAGGCAAGTCTGTTACTTATAGCTAAGGGATAGTAAGAGCACAGAGAGTGTAAATTTGAGATCATGTTCTCGGGTTGAAGGACGGTAGATTGTCGATTCCTGAGATGATTGTGTAGATTTTTTGAATAGAGCGAAACTCTGCCGACTTTCTGCTTCATTACTATTCATTCAACGCACTTCCAATGGGACGTCTTGATAATGCGCTCTTAGGGACAGACGTATTCCTCTTGTATGTTTAAATGGATGAATCAAGCTGCAAGTTATATCTGGGGAGTATATTCATAGGCGCTAGCAAGCTTGCAGTATAAAATTTGTTTGAAAAGAACATATACATCTTTTGAACAAATATGTAATAAAGTGGTTCCGAGTATTATTTTCAGTGAATATATGGTGTCCAATCTCAACGCGATGGCAATATGGGTATCGATTTCGAGTGTTGCCGATTTAACCACCGGGATGTGAATCAAAATCTCCTCTTCTTCTTCGTCGGTGCAGTCGCCTTACGTTCAAGCTCTTTCGCTAATTCCGCCCGCCTGCGCTCTGTCCTCTGCTCTTCCGTCTCGGGCTCTGGCACTGTGGTAGGCGAAAATGGACGGTGTCTCTTGCTATCCGCATCAGATCTCGTCCCGATGGTCCCAATCTTTCGACTTGCGGGCCTCGCGGGGCTTGTAGTGGTTTGAGGGCTCCTTGTCCCGGGGGATGTTACGTTCGGTTCCTCAGACGGCTCTGGTGTCACTCGAGTCTTAGGCTTACCGCCTATTCGCCCCAGTCCAACCCCCTTCCTCTCAGTCGGGACAAATGAAGGAGACCGGGCTTTGGATGGTCCGGCGTCATCCTCGGAATCCGAGCCAGATGCCGTTTCATCTCCGTCCTTGGGGGGTGGGGGTGGTGGTACAGGAGATGAGGACTTTACTGGAGGGGACGATGGCTCTCTAGATTTTCCAATGGTCCCTAGCCGGGTATTTTGCCGCCTTTGGGGTTCTGGTAGCACTGGTTCTGTGTCAGACTCTGATGGGGTCTCGTCATCATCAATAGGGACAATGCGAGAAGACTGGCTAGCCGATATATCTTTGGCGGGCTTCTTCCCACCAACTGAACCGATTCGGGAACGAGGCTTGTCTTGCGCCACAGTGGGATGACTATCGGGAATCTCTACGGGGCTATCGTCATCATCTGTAGTATCACCAGCGGCTCTGGAGTAATCATATTTTCGCCTAATTGACTGTAGATGGGGCGGAGTGGCCTGTACTTGAAAGTCGTCATCATCCCTTTCCCTACTTGTCTTGGTTTCTAGAGGAGGAGTCTCTCGTGACTGCCTACTAATTTCCTTCCGAGGTTTGACAGCGGTAGTTGAGCTCGATCCTAACTTCGTCCACCAGTCATTAAGCTGACTGGAGGGGGAGATCTCCGCATTTACACTATTACGCAACTCTGTTTCCGCAAAAACCTCATGAATCAGGGACGACAGGTCCCGGGGGAGCTCCTGGTTCGCAGTGACACTTGACTTCCATTCGGATTCGTTGAAAGCTGCTAGGCCTTTGACCTTCTCCTCGAAAACCGCCCGGGACGGCTTACGCTTGGTGGACAGTGAATTAAAGACATACTCTAAGCCGACCTTGTTGGCTTCCAGCTTATCGACAAGCTTTGTGATAACAGCATCTTTTTCCTTAAGCCTCGTTATGAGATCCTGGGCCTCCAACGTTCGGACATGGTGGGCTTGAATGAGTGGTAAGACAAGCTCTGAGGCTAGGCCAATGGGTGGGCATTTTGTCAAGTAGACAGGCCACTTGAGCGGCTTGAGCGGTTCGGGTAACACGCATGTAACGTGAAGAGCCAGACCTCCTCCAGACGTTGTACCTGCCGTCGAGGCGGATATACTAAGGCTGGTCGTATGGTGGTCTGGTGACGTGGGATCGAAGGCTGCGTCAAGCTTAGAGAAAAAGACGGTCCACTGATTAGGATCGCCGTCACTCAAATCTATGCTTGTGTTCTCTTGTAGGCTTCGCAATATTATACCTTTTCTGTCGAGGCATTCTACCCACACATTGGCGAGATCAGTAACGTGAAGTGTGTACGATGAAGAAGCAGCCTGCAGAGAGATCATGAGAGCAGGGAGGTTTGGAAATGTCGGCAACGGATGCCACTTTGAGGCTTGCGCCATAATGAAATGTTCCAAATTTAAAGAAGCCGAATTGAATATTTGCTTAAAGTACCTAAGGTTATAAAAAATGAACGTGAGGTAAAAGAAGAGAGATGACGACTTGAACGCCTTAGCGTTGAGCCGTCGAATGGAGGCGACAAGTTAGGTACCTACCTCCTACTATTGGTACCTACCTAATTGAAGCTGGAGGTTAGGCACGTACAGTGTGTATTCTACCGAAGCCTATTTTAGACACTGTATTCTGAGTCACGTGGATAAACTATCATGCTCCTATGTATTAACTAGATATATGTAACTACGAAGTAACACAACTTGTCAATATTATGTAATCTGAGGCTCTGCTGACGAAAACACGAACGCGACATAAATCACGACATAATTTTTCAACACAGCCAAAGTGCAACCCAACACTCATACACCCACAGCAATCCAGTGTGTAGCCTGATTATCCAGCATTTCACATATATCCAGGGCGTAAATTTTTACGCGCGTATATGAACTGAGGTCGGTACGCCGGTTACATCTCAACTGTCTGTATCCAGCGGCCCGACATCCAGCAGACGAGCTCGGTCCCTCCCCCTGTCAAAGCGAAGCCGAACGACAGACGTAGAAGAATTCTGGAACGTCACGACCTATGTACTTTCATATATTGCGCCTAGCCATCTATAAATGATTAATAAATCATTACCTACCAAATATACCCATCATCACAACGGCAGGGGCGCACCGAGCCGCATCGCCAGCAGCCACCCATCCGCGCAGGCTACTTGCTTGCACGTCGTCGCACAGGCGAACCCGCGCATTCCACATGGTCAGATCCCTGTCTCCTCGGAGATTATCTCCGTTGTCTTGAGGACCGGAGAAATATCTCTCGTACGGTGCTGGTGTCGGGAACTGGAGGGGAAGAAACTTATTCCCCTAATGTCCATTTTGGATGCGGTATTGTTCTAGTTGCTGCCGCGCTCGTTACCGCTGTGTTACCTGCCCACGCATGCTCGTCCAGTCACGCCACTTAGCTTGCTGATGACTACCTAGCCTAGGTACCTAAAGTTATACCCGCGTCGCAGCACATAGTGTGTGTCAGTGCTAGACAGTTGTCTTTCCAGGCGACGCTTGTAAGCCTCCCTCAGCAGATTTTCATTCGATGGTACATGAATGCTACACCTTTGAAAACATTCAGGTAAGGATTATTGTAGTTAGACCAAACTCTTCCCACTCAGGTTTTTCCTTGGGCACTGTTGGGCGCTAAGGATAATTCCATCTCCGTTATAAAAAGGCATTTTCGACGGTTTTTCCCCTGATTAAGTCGGCTACCTGGCGCCGGCGCTAACTAGGTAGAGTAATGCTGTAGGCAGGTAAGGGCTGGGGATGGTATAGGCAGGAAGTAGAAGATCTCTCATGTCAGGCGAAACTCTAGCTCTGTTGCCCTAAGGGAATACCCTAGACGTCTAAAGCGCCATAGATGCGCCTGCTGTAGCTACCTAGCTTATAGCAACCAATAGACGTTAACGTTCTCATTGTCATCATAGGTAGGAATCGTGGAAAGCGCCCTGAATATGAACCCGTCAAAAAGCAAGATAGTGTTTGGTTGACGACCAGATCCATACTAGATTTATAGACATGACAAAGTGATCTCAACCAAACTCTAGACAGCCAAAAATGGCAATCCATACAAAATTATTTTCTACTAGGTCTATTTCACGATACGGCATGGCTGGGAACATTCATATGTTACTCAATAAGTCAAATCTCTATTTTGCGGACCTAGACTCAAGTAGAAGGAATCAACGGGCGAAAGTAGCTAAGGCTAAAGGTCTACATGTACATAAGAGAGATCCTTTTAGATTCTCTTGCAGTAACTTAACCCCTTATCGTTCAATTACCATCTCAACTCAAAGTATTAGCAACGAAGACCAAAGAAATTAGTTCAGTGCGGTAATATCGTAATGGCAAAGCTGTTGGCCACCTGCTTCGGTAGGCACATCCCAACTCTCGCAACCACTACGAGCAGCCACCGCCACCGGCAATGACATTGAAGTTGTCTGTGTCGAACTCCTGCCCTTGAGTCCAAGTCGTAGGTCCCATACTGCCGCGGGACTGGCAGTTTTCGGCGCCAATGATATCTAGGACATAGGTAGCGATGTAGGCACAGTCTCGACTAATGGGAGTACTGTTGTCATTGCACATCCAAATCGAGGTGCCCTTCATACAATAGAGCATAGCGCACTTCTTGGGTCCTGCGTCGATCTTGCAATCTGTGTGGATATTCTTCAAGAAGTCATAACCCGATAAAAGGATATATCGTAGTCCGTGGTCGTGATTGGGAATGTTGCAAAGAATCTTAGACTATTGGCATATGTCAATATCAAAGGGGTTCCAAAGACCCTGTAGATACTTACCTTGGTTCGCTTGTACTTGGAAACTCCAGTCGAAGGTGCAGCAGATCCGTAGTTGTCCCAGGTGAAGTCAGGCTTGATGCTCTGGATCTGAGCGAGGATGTCCTACAGTATGTTAAACCCAAAAGTCATATTAAGGCATCTGCATGATCATAACATACCGTGACTGTACCGTTAAAAGTCATCACCTCACCGCCGGGTTCAAGAGAAACGTCCATAGAGAAGGGAATAGCAGTGTATCCTTCAGGGAGGATGGAGGTAACGTTAAGGCTATCAACTGCATCCTACATAGAACTGTCAGCATGAATCATCGCTATATTAAACACAGGCGGGCTTTTTACCGTGACCACGGCCTTCGCGCCGGCAATAGCAGCGCTAACAGCACTAATGGCGCTGATCAGATGAGAGATGACGACCTTCATGATGGGACCTATGGGCGGGCTGTTTGTGGTATGGATCGTTCTTAGGGTTGGGTTAACGAGTAGCGTAGAGGAATGGTTCAAGGTGAATTGTAGGTGAATAGAACGAAGGGTGGTTATTGGAAGAGAAGAGGTTAAACTGGGAGATGGTAGGTAGAATGGAGATGCTTATATATTTCCCCGGTGGAAGGCCAGAAACTAGCTTAGGAAAGCGCATATTTAAATAATATGCTCAGTGTAACTTCCCAGTCTCCATTTGAGCAAGTTACCTACTCAAAGATTTCCCCTATTGAAGTCCTAGACACCTACCCTCCTAAACTATTGAACAGGTACCCGTTTTAATTTGTTTGGCTGCATACCCTATCACGTCGTCGACAATAGTGGTGTTTTCTTAAAGGGGGCAGGCACGTACCACAGCGCCGAGAGACTGCGTTCAAATAATGTTAAGAGCACCTTCTCAACGGAATGGCAGGAGGTATTATTAGTGGGCAGTCACAGCGTTTGGGCAGGCACATATAGGAGTTACATAGGTATGTATCATAATGCATGACTGCCCGACATTATGTACCTAACATATCAATACTTATATCGCAAAAACCGATGCCGCAATTGCTACTCGGAAATTACGCCTTATATGTGACAACTAGATATAGATATAGTAAGTAAGATAAAACCCCCAACTCGAAACGACGTAAACACCTTAGAATCTACCTAACCTACCTATATATGTACTAAATTGCCCCATAGTAATAATACACCTCAAATCCATCTCATTTTAACTCTGCAACCCACCAGACATTCAAAGCCCCTTCATCGCCATCTCACTTCCAAAACTAAAGACTGATCGATCAAGTTTTCCTCTTCTTGGGCGGCGTTTCGGGTGAAGAGCCCGAATCGCCATCGCCAGTAGACCTCCTCTTACGAGCCTGACCGACATCCGATTCGTCAGACGACGATCCACTTCCTGCTAATTCCGACTCCGTTAGGGTTATAGGAGCCGGGGCTACGGGGCCAGTCCTTTGAATAGTCTCTGATGCCGTCCTATGTTCCCACGTTTCTTCCACTTGTACTCCGCCTCCTCTTCCTCCTCCTCTTCCTCCCCCTCTTCCTCTTCCTCTTCCTCTTCCTCTTCCCGTTTGATTTCCACGGACGCTGGGTGTCGGGTTTGCTTCAATGGAACTACTTCCAAATTCGCTCATTTCGCCGGATGTGTCCTGGATAACAATAGGAGTACTTTTGTCACCGGGCGTAGTCTTGTTGCCGGGCGTAGTCTTGGTGCCGGGCGTGTCCTTCCTTATCACATTCTTGCCCTGTGTTGAAGAAAAGAGTTCTGTGATAGGGGGCAATGATTCATCAGAGTCAGTGTCTCTCTCTAGGGTTTCCTCTTCTTGTATGACATGGAGTTCACCTTTGTTTCCTTTTGGAGTAAAAGGGCTAGAGTGAGTCTGTGATCCAATATTCGGACGAACGGTTTTTTTTACAGCTTCTTTCTTGCTATTTTTCTCTTGCTCCTCTTTTTCTTCGTCCTTTGATTCTTCACCTTCCGGCTCCTCACCTTCTGATTCTTCTTCTGGCTCTTCCGGCTCTGGCTCTTCCGTCTCTTCTGGCTCTTCCGTCTCTTCTGGCTCTGGCTCTTCCGTCTCTTCTGGCTCTTCCGGCTCTGGCTCTTCCGTCTCTTCCGTCTCTTCTGGCTCTTCCGGCTCTGGCTCTTCCGTCTCTTCCGGCTCTGGCCCTTCCGTTTCTTCTGGCTCTTCCGGCTCTGGCTCTTCCGTCTCTTCCGGCTCTGGCCCTTCCGTTTCTTCTGGCTCTTCCGGCTCCGGCCCTTCCGTTTCTTCTGGCGCTTCCGGCTCCGGCCTTTCCGTTTCTTCTGGTTCTTCCTCTTCCCCTGATTCTGGGGGCGGTGATTCTGCCTGGCTTGCATTCCCGTCTATGTCCTGTACACGGTTTGCCTCTATAAGACGTTGATATATCTCTTCATCAGTCCAATAACGGTGATTCCCATCTTTATCATATCCGGGTTCGCTTGAGTTCCATTCTTTATACTTAAATGGATCCATAGGTTCCAAAGCCGAAAAATGTATCATCCTTTCCTCTTCTCCATGGTATAAAACTTGGACTGGTTCTATGGCCACCCGCGTGACGTATCTCATAGCTCTATTCACGGCCATTGATGCTAAGCCTATCATCTCCATACGCACACGGTCGGGATTAAAATACGCAGTTAGATCACCCCATATGGCATCATACTCATATCTCTTAGGTCTCTTGCCATAAGCCCACGTCATACGATCGATTATTTCTTTGATATGGCTAAAGACGCGTAATCCAGAACTGAAGCCGTCGTAAAGTTCGTCATCACGAGACAAGCCCACTGGATTCTGCGGAGGGATCCATATCTGTACGGGAGATAGGATCCTTCCCGACAATTCTATGCCTATTTCTTCTAAGATGGCGTGGATCCTTTGAAATATAACTCCATCGGCCTTTGCTCCGTTGTCAACATTCCACGAAGGGTCTATGATCGCCATCTCTTTAATCATTGCGTAGGGTGCGGTATTGGGTTCGGTATCCTCAAGGTCGAATTTCGGGAATAAGTAGATAACAGCTACCATCCAGCGAGGTTCGTCACCTTCCTCACTGGCGTCTATCGGCCAGAAAACGTACGGCTGTTCACGGATAGCAACGAAACGATCTCTGCCTTCGTCAAGTCCTTCCAGGTTGTTGTCAAACCACTCCTTGAACTCATCTACACCATAAGAAAAAAATTCCTTAGTCGCTGGCATTATAAGGATATCTTCTCGAACAGAGTTCGGTAAATATGTCTGAAGCTGCTCTAGGCAAACATCTAAGCAATCTGAGTCTACGAACATCCGCCTGTCAGACTCTGGTAGTCTTGTTAGTAATGAAGACTCGCATTAAAAGGGTAAAATACATGTATTGGGCCACTAAAAAATAATTGTAAGGAGTTACTTACGGAGTAAATTGAGCGCATCTACGCCTCTAAATACCGCTGGTGTTGTCTTCCATTCATTGGGTAGATTGCCTACGAGGGTGTTCGAAGGATAACGTTTTTCCCTGTAAGTAATCTTCCCTTCCCTTGGTGGATATATATCAATTACACTGGTCCTGGCTAATCGTATACTTGGCTTGTCCGGATCGCCTCCAAGACGTCTATTATCTTTTACCATCCCCTTATTTGGGTCTGGAATTCTGGCACGGCGCCCTGACATTTTTTTATTTAATTTTAGTCGAAAAAGTGAATGAATGAATTGGTTTAGTCTGAACCGTAAAATAGGCTATTATTTGTAACTCGAAGATCATCGGGTGTATATACCTGAGTGACTATTAATACGCCGTTCCCTCAACGCGTCTATTAAGCATGCCCCTTATGTTTTCCACTTCTTTGTTTTGTCAAGGTCGACTTTCTTGTCTGAAAGCGGACATTTAGTGCGAGAAGATACCTACCTATACAGTTAAGATATACGCTTTGTTGTTATTGAACGAGATGCGTTCGGATGCCACTTATCAATTACAGTGTTGTCAGTGTACAAAGCGGACAAGGTAACGTGGACTTTCTATTTTATTGTTACGCTTTCAATATTATTTTATGAATATCCACGGCATGATACTTCTAGATATTCTACAATCAACAGGAAGCTTTGCCGTGTCCATTTGAATAGCATACTTATAACTATATACCAGATACCAAGTGAAGTGCTCCTTAGAGGCATATAGTCCTTCCCGTACGTGCGACAATTCTCGGGACACAAAAGTATTGTCAAACATATCACTGTACCACTAAAAGGTAATTTCGTAATAGAACTTTCGCGACTATAGTATATTCGATAGGCATATACAATGTTTCTCAGTCTCGCTTTAATTACTACAAGACCGCCGGATTGAATTGGTCATATTTATTTTGGCTGGGTCTACCCACACTTGACATATTTCGGGTTGAACAAGACCAAGTTATCATTTGATCTATCGAATACACCCAGCTAGGTATAAATTAGGTACTCTTCAAATTATCACGCGTTCGCAATGTATGTGTATGCAATTGAGCTTTGCCTTAAGGCTTTCGTCAGTAAAGTAGTATCTCTATATCACGTAGCTGTTCGACTAGCAAGACAAGGTAATCGCTCAATTTACTAGCTGTTTTAACATTCAACTTCAATCAACTTTCCTTCTGCACCTTTTGATCTTAATATCTTATGATTAAGCGTATTCCCATATCACGGACGACATTTTAACAGACTACCCAACTCCTACGCTAATCCGATTGTTGCCATTAAACATTTACCCAGACCAGTCTACTTTCATACCAATGTTTCATGAGCATAACTACACCTCGCATGTACCTCGATACCCCGTTGGTAAATCAACCCCGTGTCCAAACCATGACATTCTCAAGCATACCCTCGCAGTTCACGGCTTTGAGCGTGGGACGCAGGCTATTCTGCAGCTCCTCGTCAAATATCTGCGCGAAACGGGGCTCCATTAAGGCAATCAGCCCTTTGCGGTTGAGCCACCGCGGAAGAGACTCGATGTACCTCAGGATATCAGCGTATGTCTGAGGCACGTAGATTTCTCTGCGCTGGAGCGCTGCCTTTAGGTTCCGCTGTATCATATTGTTGAGATGGCTCACGCGCCTGGGGCTGGGTGAGTGGACCGGCGTGTTAGAGCTCTCCCTCAGTCCTTTCAATAATCCACTCTGCTTAGTTCTCTCTTTCATCGAGGCCTGGGGCCGCCGAGTGCCGGGTTTCCATTGCCCTGCGTGATTAGCCATGCTGCTAGCGACACCCTGGCACCGTCCGCAGTACTGGTTTAGTGTGACATAGCAGACACGGTATCTCCCTAGCTCTGCTGAATTGCAAACTTCCGGGTCGAGTAGACAAAAGCCGCTTTGCTGCGCTTCCGGAGAGATCTCCTGGTGATTGCAGATATATCTGCGTACTATGTAAACGTAACACATTTTTGCTCAATCGTCGGTTTTTTTTTTTTCTTTTTTTTTTTTTTTGCTTTCCTTGTTATTCTCTCTATTACACCTATCTTCTAGATACGTGCCCAAATAGTGGATTTCGGGTTTTTGTTTGATAGTTCTTGTATCTAAAGTGAGTTTTATTAGTATCAAATTGAGATTGATAGTTCCCAGTAAAATGTGGTTCCTGCCACAGTCTGATCTGATATTAGTATACTTAAGGAATGTGGTTCGAGAAAGACTATGAATTATTCCTGTAACTTCTACGATGCATGGACGTAGGTTTACTTTTATCCAGATGCTGCATCTTTGTGTTCACTGCGAGCCGGTCACAAGTATTAGGTAAAGAAACCATGGAATATGTACAATCAGATTATCTTGCAAAATAGCCTATTGTACTTATTCTTTCTCTTGTAGAAATTGATGCTCAACAACAATAATAAAAACAAAGTTAGTATAAAAATATCTTACTAGATAAAGAGCTTGTTTTTAATCGGTTATCATTACGTGGAGAGCGAGACGAGATAGATTGCTATCAATGTTATTATTATTTGTTATGACAATTTTGAATTCAATAACCAAGGAAACAATTCACAATTGCCAATGTTTTCTTCCTTCCGCAAGCTCTTGGACGATAATTTCCGTGCGGATTCGTCAATGTTCTAAATATCTACCTAACGAAAATTTACCGGTGTAAGTCAATATACATAGATGAAATCCTCATTCTTTAGATCTGGCAGATCGTTTAAGCCGTTGTCATCCTCAATATTCCTGGTTGCCTGTTCGTTCTGCTCAAGCTCGACAGTCTTGCTACCCTGCATATCTTTCCTTCTCACCATAGACTCATCGATAATATTTCCCTGCTTTCCGAGATCTTCTCTTCTCTTAGCATGCCATTTATTTAAGAACATGAGGTACATCGGAATGAGTCTACCTCATTAGTTAGTCAGGAATTAAAGCATAGTGTAGGGATGTGGGATCGTAGTGACGCACAATCCAAGAATGCCAACCGTGACAAACATGACCAGATTGGCGATGAGACCAGGGCGGTATAACGGAGCATCCTTTGTGTTGTATAAAAGGGGGCCAATGACGTTTCCTAATTGAGAGTTAGATACTATAACAAGGTAACCCTGATAACAAAGAGATGGATCGAAGGTGAAAGAGCTGAAGGCCGCCAGCTTTGTGCATTCAACTAACCAGTACACATTCCCATAAACACCATTGCCGAACTGGTCTTTTTCTTAGTGTCACCTCCTGTATTCTGGGCAGACCATGCATAGACCATAGGAGTAATGGCCCCTAAGCACTGAACTAGATAGTAGCCTAGCAATAGAACTCCTTTGTTCTTCTCATTTCGGGGCACTGTCAACATGAGGATCGTTCCAATTGTCGGGAGACAGCTGAGCCCCGTGATAACAATTCCTTTTCGCCCTATCCTAGTAGCGACCCAGGCCGATCCGATAATAATGGCAACCTGGATTGCTCCCGTTGGCATACTGAAGAGAATTGCGGTGAAGCTGGTAAAGCCGAAGTCCTTTAGGATAAGATTCCCAAATGTGCTAATACCTCCGCTCGCAATTGATATTGCGACGATCAGGATAAACCATAGTAAAGTCTTGAGGTCCGTAAACGTTTCAATAACATGATCCCATTTCCATTGCCGACTCGCGACACCCATCTGGTTAGCGCGCAAACGTTGGACGGCAATGCTACGCTCGCGCTCGCTCAGGTACTTGGCCTCCATAGGCGAGTCGGGCATGAATATGAGGAAAGTGATTCCAAAGAGGACAGTAAGAGCACCGCAGAAGATGAATATTGTCTGATAGCGGTATATCTTCTTACTGGCGACATGGCCGAGACCATACGTTACTAAACTACCAATGATGAATGTCACACCGTTCATGGCATTCCAGTAGGAAGCACGGAGCGTCTGCTCGGATCGCCTCCACCACATTTGTGTCACTGCTAAGCACGAAGGAGCGATCATAGCTTCGAACGAGCCGAGGAGGAAACGCATGGCTAAAAGCGAGCCGAAGTTAGTGCACGCCGCCATAATTGCTGCACAGGCGCCCTATAGAACAGACATTAGTATACATGTATACTTCGTAAATATATAACTATACCACATACCCAACAGACTACCGCTGTCCCGATCACCTTTCCAGTAGGAAGCTTCACCAGCAGAAAAGCGGCAAGAGGCTGGAAGATGAGCTGCGCAAGATACAAGACAGACCCAAGCCATGAGTATTCTATCGACTTAAGATGGGCATCTTCCATAATACCGAATATAGACACGTATGAAAGGGAAGACTTGTCTAACTGCTGGAAGAAGTAGGCGCCGAGGATGAGAGGGAGAATCCGTAGGTCGATACGTCGGAGAACCTCGCGTTCCTCTTCGTACGTGAAGGTGACCTCGCCATGCTCGGCGATAAACTGGGCAGCTTTATCCGCTCGCAAGCTGACGGCGTGGACACGCTCAGTGGTTCCTTCGACGGGCGTTATGGCGTCGGCGGCATCAGTCGCTGCTAATACTTTTTTCGGCGTATTGTCTGCCATATCGTCTAAATCCAATTACCAGAACACTCAGCAAGCTAACATCTGCGCGAGGGAATATAAAGATAATTTCATTGACGACGGGATGTAGCTGGTTATAAAGCTGGTGATCACTTCCCAGACAAGGGTGGTGGTCATATATAACTCCTCATACGAAGGGTGATTCCAGACACCTGGGAAGACGGCAGGTTGGGGTTGCGGAGATCCTTGTTAGGGGAACATCGGTAGGCTGGGCGTGTAAGTGTTTCCGGGATGCCTACCTCATATGTCAACACATGTCAATACATGCCATTCTTTCAGACGGGAACCTTATTGAATGATAATCCGCACATCGCAACAGGCTAATACCTATCATATGCCTATACTCGAGAGTAATCTTATCGTTTTTACTCATAACTACGAGAGAACCTATGAACATACTTGCCGTTACACAATGATCAGTATTACAACCACATCATTTAGCTGGATATCAAACGGGACATCTATCAGAAATCAACAGAGCACCGTTTAACGGTGTAGCTGGTAAGTGTCGGTACAGGCTCCTATTAGTGGAAATATAAGATTCGTCAAGGTCAAAGGTACGTTTACCCGGAATAGACTATTGTATCGTCTTCCAACTTAAATCAAGACAGCAGTTGGCTTGAAAGGATTCCGCTGGGGGTAACCGAGAATGGAGACCAATAACGCGCCATTGGACAAGGACAGCTCGTTTCCTATAACATATCAGTTCGACCCCAGAATCCCCGCATCGCGAGTCCAGTGGAGGCGGAGACAAACCCCAGATACGGCTAAATGAAGAAATCCAACTCATGGATTATCCCCGCTGCTGCTTAAACCCCATCCACCATCCTCGGCAGATATCTTGCTAACTAGAGACATGTAGGCTTGAGACTCTGTAGCTAGAAATAGTCTAGCAGCGCTGCTTTCATGTTCAAATAGCCATGTGAGAGAAGACCTCGCTCGCTATACGGCATCCCCTTTTCAACTAGACCGGCCAACTGCCAAGTCTCAACCAAGAAGACTACAGCGAGTTATCAACCCCTAACTTCTAGGGAGGGGCAGTGGAAACATTACCCCAACCTTCTCCAACCCGTCAGATGTGTACTTCGCAGGGTATTTTCCCGACAGCGATAACGGCTCGAGTGAAGTGGTGATAGAACATCCCCCTCTCGAGAAATATCAAGTTCTTCACACAGCCGGTGAATAATATGAAAGTTATTACAAATAGCTATATCTAAGGTTATCGCCTCTAGCCTCAGTGAAGTCTTCACCATTAAGCTCATCGCTCAAGACTTACACATCCGTCTTAAAAACAACTTTCATACTACTTACAGCTCAAGGGAGATCTTGGCATCCAACGCATCTCTCTCAGGGCGAACGCACACACACACCACCACAATGGTCGATATAACCGCACCCCTCCGCCCCTCACGGAAAAAGTACGCCATCGTAGGCACCGGCGGCCGCGCGATATTCTTCTACACAGCCATTGCAAAAGACTACGCCAAAACATCGTGTATCGTCGGCATATGCGACACGAACCAGACGCGCATGAACTTCGCCAACGCGAAGCTCGAAGCCTTCGGCCACGGCGCGGTTCCCACGTTCCCCGCCGCCGACTTCGAGCGCATGATCCGCGAGACCCAGCCCGACGAGGTCATCGTCACCACGATCGACCGCACCCACAACATCTACATCACCAAAGCCCTCGACCTCGGCTGCAACGTCGTCACCGAGAAACCCATGACGATCGACGCCCCGCGCTGCCGCGCCATCATCGACGCCGTAGAGCGGAACCCGGGCCGCCGCGTGCGCGTCACCTTCAACTATCGGTACGCGCCGCACAACACCAAGGTCTACGAGCTGCTGCGCTCCGGCGCCATCGGCACCGTCACCAGCGTGCACTTCGAGTGGATGCTGAACACCTCCCACGGCGCGGACTACTTCCGGCGCTGGCACCGGGACAAGCGCAACAGCGGCGGGCTGCTCGTGCACAAGAGCACGCACCACTTCGACCTAGTGAACTTCTGGCTGCGCACGCGGCCGCAGACCGTCTACGCCCAAGGCGACCTGAAGTTCTACGGGCGCGAGAACGCCGAGCTCCGCGGCGTCGCTCCATCTGCGTTTTACGCGCGCGCGCACGGCAACGAAAACTCTAGACGGGACCCGTTTGCGCTGCACCTGGAAGACCACCCGCAGCTCAAAGCCATGTATCTCGACGCGGAGCACGAGGACGCGTATTACCGGGACCAGAGCGTGTTCGGAGACGGGATTAGTATCGAGGACACGATGAATTTGCTCGTGCGGTACCGCAACGGCGCCGTGCTAACGTATTCGCTGACGGCGTATGCGCCGTGGGAGGGGTTTAGGGTGAGTTTTAACGGGACCGGGGGACGTTTGGAGATGGAAGTTGTGGAGAATAGTTATGTGAACTCGGGGGGCGATCAAGCGGCGGAAGGGTCGTTGGAAAAGCGGACGATCACGCTGCGCAAGTTGTTTGAGAAACCGCAGGAGATTGAGATTTCGGATGGTGTTGGTGCTCATGGTGGCGGTGATACTGTGCTTCTTAATGACCTCTTCGGCGAGCCCACGACTGATGAGTATATGCGAGCTGCGAGCCATGTTGATGGTGCGTTGTCCATTCTAACCGGTATCGCCGCGAATCGGTCCATTGCTACAGGACAAGTAGTCAACGTCGACGACGTATTGAACATACCGTGAAGGGAACGGCTATATAACTAAGTTAATTAGTATCATATAATAAATGTCTCACAATTTATAGACGATTCAGAATAGATTTGAAGCACCTGATATAACAGGGAATTAGTGAGGGTTTTGGGCCTCGGCTATCAAAATACTGTTAATTCACATTGAAAGGTGATGCAGGTGATGCAGACATACTTCCAATGCTAAGAGACAAATGCGCCATAGGCCCTGTGTATGGGTATCGAAATCATTACTCCCCTGCGCCTATTTTCCACCACCTCGTGTGCTGTAGGAGAAAACCACGAGTAAAAAATAATTAGACGCCCGCGAACGTTGTCCCGATGTAATCCGCACCGCACACGGCGGCCTTCTCTTCCTCGTTCAAGTTCACGCCCCATTGCCTTAGTTGCTCGAGTGTAGCATTGGATCTAACGGCAATCCACCCTTCGCCGAGGGCGTTTTGGGGATTTGACACGTCATTATTTTCACCTCGCCCTTTAGAAAGTATCCCGAACCGCAAACCGACTTCAGTGACGGTGACAAGAATACTGACGATAATGAGAATAATAATAATCCACGTTATGGCACTCATCTTTGCGTCGGCGACAGAGTCTGATAATATCTCGGCAAGGTCGAGGAAGACGCGACATCGTTCGTTGAGTACCTTCGTACGCAAGTCAATCTCTAGATATTCACGGATAGCAACATAAAGTGGGTGTAAAGTAGGTTCAGAGTCCCAAAAGAAATTAGGAACGTCAAGAATGTTCGATGCTAGTGGGATCAGTTAGTCCTAGTTATACAATCTAAAGGGTTCATGTGACTTACAGAGGTTGATGTCAACACGGCTCTTAAACAGCCGGCCGAGAATCTTCACAATCTCAGTCCTCGTCATATTCAACTCTCCAGTAAGAGCTAACCGCTTCGGTACATCCTGTGCGTTTAGCATGGTTTCGGACATCCGTTCTTCAAAGAAGCAGAGTTTGGTGCTCTGTGCGATAGCGTGGCTGATGGTAAGTTTGACCATATGATCCGACCGCGGCAGTAACGTGATCATATCGTTGAAAATACGCGGCCTCTTTACGTCCGCATTGTATTCGAAATGAAACTCTTCCGTCTCGACATCGCTCTGGTCAAGAGGTCGCGCGACTAGCGGTGTCCCACTCTCAGTCTCTGCAAATGTGATATCTGCTAGAATAGCCTTTTCCTGCGCTTCGGTGAAGTTCCAAAATACAACAACACCGTATGAGAAAACAAACATCTCGGCAAATTGCTTAGCATCAGGTGCGAGCCTATTGACAGGATTCAGGGATTGGTAGTCTTGGGAATGGTTGTTTTCGGTATCCTGACCCCTATCCTCGGACACAGATTGGTAACTACCATTCCCCTGGCTGGGACTTCCGCTTTGTTCATTGTACGAATATTCATCGTAATAGCCCATATGTTCATCTCTTCGTTCGCTCCGTTCGATTTCGAGATCTAAAACCGTCTTGCCCGTGCCGGGGGTCTTGAGTATCGGTCGACTCCTCACGCGGCAACCGTCCACACCAGGTAGTAGCGGGAGATGGTATACAGTATATAGACAGTCATCGTAGAGCTTTGTTTTAGCATCGTGCTTCTTGCGAAGAAATTCCGAAGTCGACTTCATTTTAAAAGACTGTGCAGTACAGTAGGCCGTGAGCCTCGACAACTTCTCCGTCCTTTCAAATTTAGGTAATCGTTCGGCATAACTCTTCCCACGCAGCCCACCCCTTTTCCTCAAAACGTCAAGTTCTTCATCCTTCAATGGTCTTGTCTCGTCCTCGCGAAAAGCAGATTCGATTTCTTCGTCAGGTCCTTCTAAATCGTCAGCCGTCTCAGGCAGCAGAACCAGCTTCTCACTGATTCTAGTGGTCCGTGACGGCATATTGTGTTGCCCCGTGCGCGACGCAAGATTAGGAAGGCCACCTCCGCTCACGCGTCGTACACCGGGAATGCTACGGGGGCCTCGTTGTGGAGGGACACGGGGTTGGCCAGATGGTATTTCGGAATTATATTGTAAGACGTTATCGACGGAGATGAAGCGCATTGGCGAACGACCGGGTGCCCCACGAACGGAATCTCCTTTTGCCGCCATGTTTGTTTAGCGAATCGCTATATGTGCGTATATCTGGTGATATGCGTCTTTGAGTGTACAACTCGAATTCTTGTCGCAACAGCTACTCTTGGCGAGTTCGACTTCAAGAACTCGTTCACAATTGACCTTTCAATGCTATCGCGGTATCGGTGTTTGTATCTGCATCGGTGTACGATATTCGACAAGATGGTCTTATTCAGGGGTATAGCTGTTTGACACAAAGATTGGTTAACGTAAATATTTGGTCGTCGAATTGGGTTTGAGGTCGGAGCAATGTTGCTATGGCTTCCCAAGTATTACTACAGCAAAAATAACTAAGAAACGAATAGGACGCGCAAGTATGAATAGATGAAACCCTAGTGTGGTGGACCTTTAGAACCAGACAAAGATGATAAACAAGAAGGGTGAAAATGATGGAAATAATCGAAGCTTTTCATGACGTATCGGTTTGGCGGAAGATTCAAAGCTCGGATAAGCTGCCGAACTTATCGATAAACATTTTTCTATGGGCTGATGGGTCATCATACATAGGATGACTAAGCATTTACCCCTATTTATTTTCTCCCTGAAAAAGGAAAAGGAGTCAGGAGCCGTAGTTTTAGATTTGATAAATACCTATGTTATAAATATGGTGAATGCCTTACCATAATAAATTTTTATTACTTCAGATTTATATACGGGAAAGATAAATCGAACGAAGATATTATTTAAGGGTCTACCTAAGTCTACCTGAAATTCATGTCGAGGACACCGTTAAGTTCTTCAGACTCCAACATCATATCATGCATTTCCAATATCATTTGAATCAAAATATCTCATAAGTGATCTCCCTCCCCTCTGCGGTACAATAGTCGAACTTCCAGTCATAGTTTCTAACCAGATAATGAGTATAATAGGCATAACCATTTACATAGATTACCTATCCTCACACGCCTTTCGGACATTACCTAATTTGCCCATCAGCATTCTACTCATTGCTACAAATATATTCTGGACTAATGCCCACTGGAGGAAACGGAGAATGCCCCCTGCTATAGCGTTAGGTATTATAAAATTTATTGCCTGGAGCAAATATCACAATCTGATATTCAACCTTTGCTTAACCTTTATGTTCAAAACAGCTCCTCCGCCTTCCAGAACGATCTTTGAAGTATACCAAAACCAGTAGTTAGAATATGCTTGACTTTGCTTCAACGAACCATATTTAGTTTCAACAGCATAACTACGCTAAATGTTAAGAGGCACTCATACTTGCCTCACGCCTAGACCTATTAGATTAGGTACACATCACGTTACTAGTACTTCTTGTGATTGTAGCTTCGGTGCGCACCACGTAGAACGACTGTTGCAGTTCGTACGTGATATAGATAGCCGTGATACACAAACTTCACTGGGTACTAGTGAAATCACTACAGCACATTCGTGACACTATGTCGCTGTGCCTGACTGATAGCATAGTGTAAGGGCTAAACGGTTAAAAAGAGGAGGTATAAATAAGGTTAATATTGTTGGCCTTATGGAGCTGGTTGACTGTCCCTCTTTCTGACCATAACAATGAGGCTCTTAGCTATGAATTTGCTTATTGTAGAAATATCCGTCAGGCATAGTTACCAAGACGGTCGACAAGTCCTGTGAAACTCACACGCTAATATTTATATCTGCTATTCTCTCAGACTGGGTGGAATCCTTCCCTTTCAACATCCTCCCATCACCATGCCATTAACAGCCACCAGCATTCATCATGGCCTCGTCACGGGTTACAACGTATTTATGCACAGCATGACTCCGTATAATGTATCTACTCATAGATCTAATGGCCTTCTAGGAACCGCAATACTGTGACAACTTTCACCAGAATAAGCATAGGGTAAGATGCAAGCAAATCCAAGCTCAGCCACACAGATTCGCCTAGTCCTAGGGGCTACCTTGCCAGTGAAAATAGATGCCAGATATAGATTTCCACAAGCACTGAAGATCACGAACGCTGTACTCTGAATAATGAGAAACTATCTTAGACGGCCACTGTATTTCTTTATATGTCCCTTTCATGTTAATTCCCAGTGAATCGTCAATAAGTCCATAGTCCTATGTCATGTTGAGACTAACCAAGTTGGCCCTATGATACATGAAATCCCTTAAGAACGGATTACAAACAACCACACCGCCACCACCATCTTCATCGTGATCGTTGTTGTCGTCTCCTCTCTCTTGATCAAGCCAGTAATATCCCCTCCTATCGTAAGCAAATAACGTAGCATAGGACCTAAAGACCCCTGGGATGTCTCAAGGAATGCCTTGTCACTATCCAGCATACCCGCATCTCCCTCAAGCTCCGGATACCCTCCTCAACCTCTTTAGAGACGTCTTTATAGCCGCATATGCGTCCACAGGGGCCCTAAGAGATAGATACCTTAGAGCAGGCGGAGAAGGAGCCCCAGGTGCCAAAACAATCGCATCATATCATTAGGTTGCTGAGCAGTAGAGCGACTAAGCACAGAAAAAATTCGCCAGGTGCCCTTCCTAGTTTGTTACCTATTTATTTCCCACCATCCTCTTCCCATCTTGGAGTTTCTTTTTTTTTTTCCAGTTTGCAACAACCTCTCAAAGTGCAACGAAACCTCAAGGATTTCTAGCTTCTCCCCAAGCTTCCAAGAGAGATCTACAACAACGCTCACTTTGGTAATCGTTTTACAATCCCGGTATCTAAGATGCTGCTCTCGAACTATCTCGCTGCCACCTTGGCGGCTTTCGTCGCTATTTGTGTCTCCGGATCGATGGCGATGATGAGCCAGCCGGAAGGCGATGACACTGTCGCTACTATGGCAGAAAGCCAGCCGGCGCCCACTTTCGATCTTATCGTCATGTTCAAACAGGTAAGTTTCTAATTTAACAATATTATCAGTGTTATGTTTTTCCTTTCTAGAATAGCCACTCATACCAGAAACCTCCCTGTGGTCTTAGAGACTCGCACAATACTAACCACAATCCCGTCCCCAGGACTCTGAGGTTGGTGAATTCGGAGCACTCAACGCTCTTCTGGGGCCCCTTATTACGGCCACTTGCACCAGTAACGTTCCTGAATCTACCAAGCCCCCGGTCTCTCAGGACTCGGCTTATCAAGATCCTCGCGACGACCCTGGCCCTGCGCAGCACCATCACAACCCGTTCACCGAACAACTGGGCGGCGGACAGCCATCTATGATGCAAAACATGATCGCGCAGTACAATCGAGAGAATCCTGCTAACCAGATCCCCCCTTTCGTCTTTTGCACATCCTTACATGGCCCTGTTCGTATGTATACGCGTCGTGAGATTTGGCTAGCTATTCAAGCTGCAGTTCACGATATAGGCTTCGACGTGCGAACTGACGACCGATCTCTTGGTGCGGCTTGGCCGCGCCGCTTGGGTTTCCAAAGACCGCTTAACTACGGCGACGCCGCTGGACCGGTGATGGAGTACCCTCTTGGTGCTGATGAGTATGAGCTACCTTGTAAGTTAATTTTCCAGTTACCTCTTCCCTCCCACCTCTCATTTATCCCTTATGGATAAAACCTTCCCGTTCAAGTTATCATAAAATCCTTACCCTTCAATATTTATGAGTACCTACGTGTCTTACATACTTACACTCCTACCTACTTATCCACTCACCTACTTACCTAACTCCCCACAAACCCTCTCCAAGAAGCACTAACCAACCTCCTTACCTCACAGTAACTCAACCTATTGATGAATCCACCCTCATGATGGACCGCGTAACCTTCCTACACGACGGCACCTACACAGGCGTTGTCCGGTACACCAACACCACCCAGTGGCACAACTGCTACCCCCACGGCTGGCACTCCTTCCAGCGCGGGCGCAACGCGACTCGAACCCTCGTCCAGCGAGGCATGGGCGCCATCCGAGGCGCCTGGGATCGCTGGCTCGGCTATCAGCATGGCGGTTACGAACGCTTGGATGATGAGCGGAACGAGTACGAGTACCAGCAGCATGGCCAGAACCAAGACCCTAATTGCCCGCCTGGATGGATCTAGGTCCGGTATTAGTCGTTTTGCGTATTCTCCCTTGTTGGGTGAGGATATTAGATATCGTTTGTTTTCGGTGTTGCGGCGGTCGGGAAACTGATCCAGGATGGAATTACCTGGGAACCTGCGTTAAGACTTAATCAATAATACGCGCGGTTTGTCCGTGTGGTCGTCATCTCGTTAGGTAATTAGATCTTCTCGCGCCCTAGATAAGACCAAGAAAGCTTTCACGCCTACTATGGATGCCCCATAATATCTTTTGATTGTGAATGGAAGTGTACGTTTTCGCCTTAAGCTGCCTAACTGTGGTGAGGCTAGAGTCTATAATACGTGGTATTATTCCTTCTATGATGGCTAGTAAATCGTAAGATTACATTCATTTTATAATGAATAAGAGGCTATAAGGGTCCTTAAAGCATAATAGAAAGCCATAAATTAAGCAAAATAAGCTATTAGAATAACGTAGCTCCATAGAAAATATACCTACTTTGGGAAATAATTAATGAGGCTACTTGGTCTATGTGCAAGGGTTTGGTTTGAGGGCACAACTATACCCTTTTCTGGGGACTGCAGAAGAATATGGAGGAATAGTAGAGTATGTTACTAATTGGTTCTTGAAACTTCCCGAGTCATTTCCTGAAGTGCTAATAGGTAACTACAGAATCATCCTCTAACTACCTACCTCTTAAGATTGAGCTGAGGACTAGTACTATATAAGGCAGATCACTCGGTGTTTAAACTAATCATAAATTCTTTATAGTATGAAGAGGCTTGTTCTGCATCATGCTACCTGGTTGGCACATCCAGTGATAAGATCCCCTATTATGCTTGCAACTATCTCGCAGAAAGCAACGCGACTAACCCCTAGCATACAAGAGAGTATATAAGAATACAATAACAACGTCGCATCCAGCTCTAGCAAAACCTATACCTACCTAAGCTGAGTCTATCAATAAGCAAGCCCCCTAACACTAACCGCTATATAATTTTCCGTATCCCTATGCACGAAAAAGATATATAGCAGACCTACTCCGGTTATTATTCCACCCTTTCCGTTCTGTCCTGTTAATCCGAGACGACCATCATATTACATAACCCCAAATCAAATATTTGGGTGAACCGACCGGTCCTTCTAGTCCTCCGGTTTGTAGACGCCGTCCTTGCATAGTAGAACTATTTTCTTGAAGAAACGTCTCCACTCGAGCGGGTCACCTTTGAGCTTGACGAATCGCACTTCGAGCAGCTCCTGGGACTCTGGTAAAAAGTACTTGTCGACTAGGATCTCCCCGTGAAGTCCCTGCTTGCGATCGTCCACCGTCCTAACTTTATAAGTGGACACGTGATCACCCTGGCCGACATATGGCGGCCCCGACGGTAGTGGCACGTTGAGATTGTGCAATGCATCGCTGAGCATCTGGACAAGTAGCTGCGGCGGCATATGCGAAAAGAAGCGAGTAAATGAATGCGCAGGGACGATGTCCTTGAAGCGCTGTGCGTGCTGTGTTAGGCTGAGTGGCACCCCGCGCGTCTGCGAGAACTGGCTCATGGAGGGTTCCTCGGCCAAGGCGTCGAAGAAATTACTAGATTGCGTTGGCAATGTTGCGTCTGTTCGGGAGATAGGTTGTGTGGAAGACGCGGTTAAGGTACGGAGAACCGGTCTCTCCCAGTCGAATAGAACATCGTTAATTGGTGTTTCTGGTTGTGTAGAGGATGTCTTATGAGATGAGCCGCCATCTATATCCATACTATCTTGTGATTGAGATTGGCGCTGTGATGAAGGAGCCTGTTGGCTAAAGTCTATGTGTAGGTTCTCAAGCATTTTCGTTGCTAGATTTATGGGATCGTTGATCTGACCATCCGCGGTTAGGAATCTGTTGTGGCGGGTGTACCAAGGGTGTTGTCGTATCTGAGCAAACGTAAATCGCTTCTTCGGTTCGATACTCATCATACCCCTGAGCAACGAGTGGGCCTCTGCAGGTATTCGTTCCCATAAACTATCCGTACTTCGGCCGTTCGTCTTCTTGTATTCTTGGTACTCCCAGCTCTGCGAGGTTGGCTCATCCCACGGTGTGTTTCCTACGAGGAGGACGAACAAGATGACACCACACGACCAGATATCTACTAGTTCGGCCGAGTATTTAGTTACTTCACTAGACTTCTTGTCTACTCGGCCGCTCGCTAGTACCTCAGGGGCAACGTACGGCGGACTGCCGCACATCGTCGTGCTGAGCTTTCTTTGGCCCTTGTATTCAAACATTGTCGCCATGCCAAAATCTGCCAGTTTTAAGTTTCCGTTGTCTGACATTAGTATGTTTTCCGGCTTCAAATCTCGATGTGCAACACCTTTCGAGTGCATAAAGCTCACGCCACTGATGAGCTGGTGGAAATAGACTTGGGCGATATCTTCCGTGACGCCTACATCCGCCTCAATCTTGTCAAAGAGGTCGCCTCCTTCGGCATACTCCATTGCTATCCATCTCCAGATATGGTCTTCGCCTGTCGCAAACCATTCAATTATATTCGGGTGTTGGCCGATGTGAGAATGTAAGGACACTTCCATAGCAATCTGTTTAGCTGAGATGCGGCCATGCTTAACTGCATAACCTTTATGAATTAACTTGACCGCAAAGACTGGTGATTGGGCATCCAAAGGTATGGCCTTTTTGATTCTGAGATATTAGTCAGTAATCGGAGTGAGTGGAGACGGAATAAGGTGTAAGTGAACTCACGATGCATATGCTCCTCTTCCAATCGTCTTGGATATGAATCGAAAGGGAAGGTCATCCGGTAGAGGGTCTAATTGAGACTGCAGCATTTTGTTTTAGTAAAGATAACTCCTATTTGGTAACTTCTAGACGAAATGATTTGCTCAGATGAAACTACATGTAAGTGTGTAAACCGCTAAGCGAATCATGCATGGACATGTAGCGACTGAACATCAAATATGGACATGTGGTTCAACAACGCGGGATGCAATAAACCAATAAATTGAGATTCAGGTTCGAGAAGGAGGAAATTTGAAAACATACCATGATAACTTATAAACGCGTCTTGTCGCGTTGAAATACTAATTTACTAATTAGAGGTTGAGTCAAGCGGGAGTGTTTAGATGTTTTTGTTTGAGGTTGTCTCGCGAAGACAAACGTTCATTGGCTGCAAAGGTCTTTTAGCGGGCAATGCACCCCGCAGAGGCCATTAAAACCCCTGTCGTCATGGCCAGAGCTGCTGCTGTTGCCTTAATGGTGACTTTTCGGGTTTAATAACCTTACCAGATAAGACGATACGGCGCTACGGCGCTACCTTGACAGGGGTCAATAGGTAGACCCGTCGCGGTTGCCATAGGAGTTCGGCTGGCGGGGACAAGCGGCCAACGTTGTTTACAAATTCACAATTACTTCGTAGATCCTGCCTCACTTACTTTTTCTGTTCTAAATTTTGCATCTTCGTCATTTTCCTATTGTTCCATTTCCTAAGAAACATAGTATCAAAGAGGTTCGTAAATAGCATTCCTCAACCTCGAGTTTCTTTCTGTCTCTTACTGGAACTTTTATCAATTGGGTGTGGTGCACTTCATATCTTTCATCGCTAACAGCCACTACATTCCAGTTCGACTCGCTTCGTCTATTTCCTCTCTTACCGCAATCCATTGACTAGGGGTACTGCCGAATCGAGTAGCTTGACTCGGCCTTTATCCATCCCGTCGCATTCTCTAATATCTACCTACCTGGAAATTCGCTTGACCTTCTTATCAACGGGCAAGATTAATCATTAGCCAAGATGGACTACGCAGCCGAAGATAGCCAAAATTCTGCACCTGGTAGTGTCCAAGCGGCCAAGCTCGGCGGCACACGGAAAGGCCCAGATGCACAGAGTGTGACGAAAAGGTATGCCGTAGTGATCGCCTCTAATTTGCACTTGTTGGTCGTACCTTGTACTAATAAATCGTAGATTGCAGACAGAACTTATGCAGTTGATGACCTCGCCTGCCCCTGGTGTTTCGGCCTTCCCGTCGGCGGATGGAAACCTGATGTCCTGGTCCGCGACGATCGAGGGCCCTGACGATACTCCGTATGCTGGTCTTACCTTCAAGCTATCATTCTCTTTCCCGACCAATTATCCTTATGCACCCCCGACAGTGTTGTTCAAGACACCTATCTACCACCCCAACGTAGACTTCTCCGGCCGCATTTGCCTGGATATTCTAAAGGACAAGTGGACCGCCGCGTACAACGTTCAGACCGTTCTGCTAAGTCTGCAGAGTCTGCTCGGAGAGCCGAATAAGTAAGCTGTTCTTCGTTGAACTTATGAGGTTTGACTAATCTGACTCAATTATAGCTCTTCCCCATTAAATGGCGAGGCTGCTGAATTATGGGACAAGGATGCAGAGGAATTCAAGAGGAAAGTGCTGGGTCGTCACCGTGATGTAGACGACGATTAGATGGTCTTTATTATACCTTTCGTTCCTCAAACTTTCATATATCTGGGTGGTTGAGGGTCAACCAACATGGAGAATGGAGTCAGCGCTTGCACGGTTTGTGTAACGAGGCTCAGCTGTCTCGGCTTCTCGTATGCATTGCATTTACAGGCGGTTCCAGGCTGGAGATAGCACTTCCTTTTATTATGACATGCGGCAGCATTGCACAAATTGCCAACGTTTGATATTGCCTTTACGCATCATGATATGTCCGTATAACGTGAGAAACCCGTTGGTAAATGCTATTATAGCATCTCCAACTAGCGAGCGGGAGGGTCACAAAAATAAGTAAATATTGTTCACGGTTCTTGATTCATCAACTAGTGAATCTTATCTTAATGTCATGAAGCCAGAAGGTAACTCCGAAACCATGCCCTTCTTGAACCCAGCCGGTATCTCAACGAAACGATGTTTTTCCTTTGCTTTCCCTTACTCCTCGACCACGGCCGTCACCAGACCCTTGGGGTTCTTAACATTGACGGCTTGAACGTAGCTGTAGAGCTTCTCCTTGGCATCCTCTTCGTCGTTTCGTCTTCGGCTAATTCGGACACGAATTCTGTACGGAACACCCTTGACACCTTGCTCCCAGACCTTCTTGTTCAGTTGAGGGTCGAGGCGGACGTCGGAGGTTTGCTAAAAATATGGTTAGCCAGGCCGATGTCCTCTTGTAATTATGTTGAGGTATATGGTGGATTGGATTGGATTGATTGGGAGTAGAAGTGTGGATGGGTGGTTCGTCGTACCATAGCCTTCTGCGCAAACTCCTTGATCTCCTTGATGGCCCGAGGAGCCCGCTTCTTGAAAGTAATACCATGCAGCTACTCAATCCATCAGCATTTAATCCTTCGATAAAAATTCTGCATCGAATAGCGCTCGGTTTGAACGCGCGGTAGACGTACTCTCTTGTGGAGGTGGATGGTGTACTCGCGGGACACGACCTGCTCGATGGCCGACTTGGTGGCGGGCTTCTTTCCTTTCGACGACATTTCTGAATTAAGGAACCGTGATTAGAATTATTTCTGTAGTCGAAGGGAATGGTTGGCGCGCGGAGTTCTTACTGGATTAATGTCTGGGTGTTGGTCGAAAAAGTTCGGTCGTGATGTTTGATGTTGTTTAGCTATGCGAAATTGAAAATTCAAGACCTTGATGTGGGAAACTGAGGGCAGAAGGAACAATTTGCTAGCCGAACCAATCAAGCTTAGGGTTGTGGGATTTGTGTGTGGCTAGTGCTGCATTTGCAGGCTGATGGAGTGTGGCTTGTGAAACCTGTGTGACCTGAACAGAGGTTCACAGCTGTGAGAGATTTTATGGGTCACATTAGGTACCTCCTAAGGTACATGTACTAAGGTTCGCACCTACGTAATCCGCCTGCATTGATCTCAAGAATCTAAGCCAAAACCGGTAGAGCCTAAGGGGTGACAGCTCCCGTCGTGATAGCAACAAATGGTAGCTACAAGCTGTAAGGCAGCTACGCTGACATACATTATTTACAGATTTCAATTGCCAAATATAGGTATTCATTCCTTCAAGTTTTCTTTCTTAATAAAACTTCACGATCCTTTGTGCACCTATCTAATGTCCTTTGTGGTAAGAATTAGTGTGGCTGATTACTACCTACCTCTGTGCCACGAGTTTTCTCAACCCCTGGCCCTTTAATTTGAAAGTTACGAGCTACTTCTCATTTTCAAGCAATCACAGTGGCCCAGGCGTCAAACCCAGCAACTACGGCCGACAATCATTCTACACTACCTTTTCCAGTGGATTGCCCAGTTTCCAGTTTTCGGTTTCTCGCCTAACGCCAACGTCCACGTTCGGTCCACGTCGCTCTCTCTCCTTTCGACAATTCTATACAGTCGTCATCACCCTGCGCCGAGCGCAATTTCACTCGTTTCGATTGTATACAGCAACCCGAAGCGACATAATTCTTTCGGATCAAGTAACTGATGAGTTTGCAAGTCGACAATTGCCTCAATCAATCCTGCTTTTCTCATCATTGCGATCATACTTTACGCGACGACAATAGACACGATTGCAGCCTCCCCTTCAAGGGAGAGCTCAGCTCATAATCATTCTACAAACGCATTTTGGCGTTGACCTTCCCGTCAATTATTCCGAATTCTTGCAATTGCCGAGCAAGAATTCTTCAAGATGGCGTACAGTGGTACTCTGGAGGAGGCGCATCAGCCGTCCCTATCTCCCGACGCTACGGTACGAAATCGGTTGCCTACCCTCTTCGAGGTGCTATGTCGTCGCACACATCCGCCCGTCGATTTGTTCTCCTTCTATATCTACATGCGAGATCAGCAACGTTCCGTTGATTACTTAGATTTCTGGTATGGTGCATTTTGAGGATAGTCAGGATTAATTTGCTGATAAAGAAAAACAGGCTGGATGTAGCGCAGCATATGTCGCTTTGCCGTCACTACGTTCGGGAGCTTAGGCGGTCCGTCCTTGTGGGCACACCTGACCTAGAGACGGAGGAATCTAAGCGATCTTCTAGAGTCTTGGAAGCAATGGGCGACTTTTCGGGACCTGCTAGGTTTGGTGACGAACAGGGAAGGGAGCGGGATGCACATATCTCCACTTATCTGCGTGAGCAACCCATACCCGGTGGCATCCACGACTCCCCGGCTAGCAGCCAGGAGCGAAGAGCCCGAGCTAGCACCCAGCTTAGCTCCAGCACGCCACATCAGATCACCGACTCGAATTCGCCCGAGCATAGTGTGGCCCGACGGGACATCCGAGCGTCTGCGGAAAAGATCCTCTACACGTTCCTGCTCCCCGGCGCCGAGCGCGAGATTACCTTGGACGGTTCTATTGCGGCAGAGATTACCCAAGCTATCGAGGAAGAGAACCGTGACGATCCCGAGATTTTTGACGTCGCCAAGGATTATGTGTTCCAGGCGATGGAACGAGATGCGTTCCCGGGCTTCCTGCGTGCTCGTGCCTTTGGCAATCTAGTTCCTCCTACTCTCATTGCGAGATTGATTATTGGTCTTGTCGCTCTGTTCGGAGCTTTCTGGACAGGATTCAACTTAATCTTCCTCGACCGTTCCCGTCTGGAGCGATGCTGGGTATGTATTCCATACTTGAATTAAACCTAACTTGGATATTTATCTAACCTTAATCATAGGAAATCCTGCCATTTACAATTGGCGTTTATTTCCTCGCATCCTATCAGTACTCTTTGGATCCTATCATGGCACTTGCAGGCTTTAGCGAGTTGACGCCGTTGCAGTTTACCCGCATTAGAGAGCCGTATGTTCGCAAGCTGCTGATCCAGCGTTCCCTTATGGTTCTAGCCGTGACGGCATTAGTTGATGCAGCATTGTGCGTGCTTTTCATCTTCGTGCCCGGTCATAGGTTATAAACCTGAATAATACCATCATCTGTTTCAGCAAAAGCATTCGGTTTCTCTTTCTGCCATTGGTGCACTGCATTTTACGACGTCATGACCCCATTTTGTTTCCAGGAGTTTCGAGCCCCGGGTTTACAAAGACTTAGATACTTCTAAGTCTTGAATAATACTCTGCCACGGTTAGAGTGGGAGAGGAGTGTGATACCATCAAGCACAAGCAAGCTATCGTTCCAGTTTTCTTTTTTGTTCTTGTCATTTCCGGAAGAGACGTGCCCATCATAAATGTGTGAAGGAGGAAAAAGGGGGCAGGGCGCGGCACGTGGCGTATGGATTCGTCGTGTCTTAGGTTCTTTATTTGGTTCGGCGACATTGCTCGGTTGAGCATACTGCTGGAGGAATATTTTCTCTTCGTCTTTTATCCAGTAATGGATTTATTTAATCAGAGGCTACGGACAAGTCTCCACGCTTTTGTCACGGGCATTTTGCCTCGCTAATCGATTTGCTGAGCGTTGTGTACAATACTACAAGTAGCTAAGCAGTCAAGACTGTCGAACCTCATGGTTGGTCAGGTTGCCATTGATTCTACACATGATTTCCGTATATCCAGTTTCGTTAGTTGTCACAAACATAGTTCGTAAGCTTGGTTTATTCTGGTATCCCTTTTTTGGCACGAGTAGTTCGTCTGTTACCGGCACTACCATGATCTATATGATATTCTTTTTACTTTTCTTTGGCCCGTGACATCGTGAGACTTCTCTTCTGCAAGTCCAGTCAGCCCCATTAAGGAGAATCCCCTAGTCGTAGCTAGAACCTAGCGTTCGTCAAAAAGCGTACGCCACTACTCATCAACTCGTAACTAATATCCCATGAGTATCAATCGTTAACCCTCCCGTAACCCTCCTAAATTCTTCGACGACTCGCCCGCTGCTTCTTCCCAGCACTTGACGCACTCGCTCCTGCGCCGACGATTTCTCCTTCATCAGGTTCCTCCTCATCTAGATCCATGGCCTCGTCCGAATCATGCGCCCCATCTAGGCTACCACTTCCACGCTTGCCGTTGCGCTGGCCACCACGTAGTCGCGCCACTGCGGAATCTAGATACCGGCCTTGTCCGCGGCCGTGTGCGCCTCCTTGCGGGGGAGACACCAAGTCTGCTTTACGCTGCTCCTCGATAAGTTTCGCCTCGCGCGTCTCCCAAGCCGTCTTCTCGTCATGTCGCTTCTTGGCCTCGTATTTGATCTGCGCGACTTGGGCTTCTAGGTCGGCGAGCGTGGACGTGCATCTATCGGACCACGTGACTAGGGCCGTGAGCATAGACGGGAGCGAGTTGGGCGCTAGATCCCGTAGCGGGGAGACGCTGGATACGTGCACGGTCTGGTGTCGCGGGTCGAGCTGCGCTTCGATGAGACCTGCGTAGATCGCGGAGATTACTAGGTACTCGACGGCGCGGGAGTCGGGAAGCCCGAGGCTTTGTTGTAGGGTTGCGTAGCTTAGGTTGTGAGGGTCGCGGGCGAGGGTTAGGAGGGAGAGTTGTCGTAGCTTGAGGGTTTGGGCATCGTTGAGTTGGGGGAGTTTTCCGGCGAGCTGCGTGTAGCCGGAGAATGTGCCGAAGGAGAATATCTCGAGGAGCGAGAGGTACGGTGCGTACTCTGGGGACTGGCTGAGGGACTGGATCTGAGGCGCTTGGAGTAGCTCGGCGAAGACGTAGGTGTTTGGGTTGGATGTGGCTTGGGTGACTAGATCGGCTGCTGCTCGGGGTGCGGCTGCGGACTTGGTGAGAGCTAGATAAGGCTACGGCTCTAGTTAGCTACTGCGTACGTGGATAGGGAAGAGATACGAGAGATTCTTACCTCTAGAGCGTTTAAAGCCTTGGTCTGCTCCATGATGAAGGTAACCTCGCCGTTACGCTGGCGATAACAACGACGTCAGTCTCTCACAAGACTGAATGGTAGGGAGCTACGGCCAGATAGCTAAGCTTTCGGATCGGCTGGCCTTGCCGTATAGGATGAAACAACGATAGATTCACGGCCTGGAGAGTAGACTGTGGAGATCCCTGCTTTTGTTCGTTTCGAATGATTACAATGACTGGATATGGTGAGGGTAAACCGAAACGACCAGATCCCATGAACCCAGCTAAGGAGAAAGAGACCTGTCTAGTTGTCTAGTAAAAGTAAAAGACGGCGGGACTGTAAGACGGGAATTCCTATTGTTTGATGTTTAGGGCAGTCTTGATTTGTTAATGAGGCACCTTGTATTGTATCATGAACGTTTGAGCTTCCAATTCCACGGTGCGCTAAGGCCCCCATTGTCATAGCGGGGCATTTGACTTAGCTGCCTATCGCTCCGCACTAGACAAGTACTTAGATACCTTAGGTACATATTTCATTTGCAACAATACATGTATTTGTTGTATCCTCCATATGTAGAACCAAATCAAGTCTCTACTTATGTTAACAATATTTATGCCCAGAAAAATGACAAATACTGTGTGTTTATGTAGTCATTGCCCAAAATTGGTCAGCACGTAAGTAGCCTATAGTGAATTCAAGTATCCGTTGAAAATAGGAGTGTCAAATCCTCCGTTCTTGCGCGGAGTTAATGGTAGGTGGTCTCGTAATTACAATTTACTACATACGACAGCCGGATAATATTCAGTACCTAGTAGTGTGCATACCTAATTTTAGTGGTTATACATCTAAAAGAGGCTCTACATACTCCGCCCGGTCCGAACTTACCGGGGGCCGGCATTTCCATAGGGGGACTTGCAGGGTTTAATAAACAGTTTACCAATAGTTGAATATAGTCAATGATTATTCGATAGTCATATGTGAGTAAACGCTAGTATTACTACACGTTAGTAAATATATACATTTAATCAAATTTAAGCGTCTAAACCGTTTAAACGCTTGAAATATTTTCAACGCTTAAGGCCTCCAACGCTGGAAAGTTTTAACGTTAGAGGACTTTTCAACGTTTAAGACCTTACAGATTAAGAAGGAAAGAGAGACATATCAATTGAAATTACGAACAAAGCAAGCAGTATTGTAATGCCTCGTAGTCTATTTGAATAAGCCGTAAGCTGTAATACCGTGATTTAATTGTAAAAGTAACAGTAGTAAAAATGATCTTATTCCAAGTATGTGTAATAGTAATAGTATGCGACACCTAATAGTAGTATGCGATATAAGAATATATCTATTTTTTGCATGTCTTATACCTTGTATATAATAGTTTATTTATAATTTATACCTTTTAAACGTATAAAAGGTTTTAACGTTTATTTTTTTTAACGTTTAAAATATTTTTAACGTTTATATTTTTTAACGTTAACACGTAACAACGTTTAAATTTTATTAAATATTTAAATTAATTTAAATATTTATATTTTTTAACCTTCGTTTAAGTATTCGCATTTTTATAAACGTTAAAATTTTTTAATAATAAATTAAATATTAATTAATGGTTTATTAAACTTAATAAATCTTAGTATAGTTATTTTTAAAAGATATTTACTTATTTTTATTTTTTATAATGCTGTTAATTTTCTTTTTTTTTTACTTTAAGTTATTAATTTTTAATATGTTTACGTTTGTATTTTTTAATATATGTATAGAACAGACAAGCCGTAAGCATTTAATAATCATTGGAGGACGTGTTTAGATCTAAAATATTATAGCCGAGATCCCATTAAGGATTGCTGAAGTTGCCGAGTTGGGAAGGTTATGAATTCGACGTGGCACACTTCGTAATTGTATTGAATCACCGTCCAGTTCATCATGTCGCACTGTGCTATATATGCGTTCGGTCAAACACCAATAATCTCCCTATACGGTTAGCTCCATCAATTTACTATGCAATGAACCACCCGATTGGTCCTAGGGCGCTTCATATTTTCCCACTGTATGTAGGTACCGTTAGGTACGAAGTCCCTACCTACCTAGGTACTAACTGACTCAAGTTGCATTTCCCTAACCCCCGGAAGCTTACAAACGCTCTTAAACCCAAAAAAGGATCGCATCGTTCGACATTCCGGCTTCGTTTCTTCTTCTTTCGCCATTTGCCAGTTGTGACCTGCAATACATACACACACCTACATATCCCGAATTTAATATAACTTGCTCCCCTCCGCCTGGCGCCGAGGCCTTGCCAATTAACCCTGTTTTCTCGCAAGTTCTTTATCCAACGAGGATCGTCGAACAGCAATATTATCATGCCGGCCATTGTATAGAAAACTTGCGAAGCGTATAATAGACGGACCAGCGACACAGTTTGCGCCTTTGTCAGCCCCTTTCGAAACACCGTCCAATCGCGCTCATCAAATATGGCTCCAGAAAATATCAGAGTTCCAGCGAGGGGATCAACTGGATCTTCCTTGCTGAGTCCAGTACCTCGATGGGCAACCACCACTTTGAGAGTTGGTGGCATGACGTATGAACCCCATGCCCCTTTGTCTAATTGTTCTATTAGCTTACACTCGTCTAGCTGTGGCGCTTGTACTTCGGCCGTTGAAGCGGGCTTCAAAGGTGTCGACGGGGTTGGCAGCGTGTCGGTGAGTCTGGTGATGGAGCGCGCGGTAGTAATGCACGATCCACAACGAGTCCCTGCCGAGACCGTACAAGAAATAATCGAAGATCGCGGGTTCGAAGCGGAGGTTCTATCGACCGATTTACCAACTCCATTGCAAACACCGAGATTCGAGGCCGAGGGCAGCAAAGATGAACCGACAACGACCGTCACGACAATTGCTGTCGAGGGTATGACTTGTGGGGCGTGTACGTCGGCTATTGAAGGCGGATTCGCGGATGTGACAGGAGTAAAACACTTCAGCATTTCACTACTCTCGGAAAGAGCCGTCGTAGAACACGATGCTTCTCTCCTACCACCCGATCAAATTATAGAAATCATCGAAGATCGAGGATTCGGCGCGACTCTAGTCTCGAGCGAAGAATCAAAACCGGTTAAGAAATCGGGATTGGCCAGTTCGGAAGCAGCATCAACTCTCGCTACGACTACAGTTGCGATTGAGGGTATGACATGTGGTGCTTGCACCTCTGCCATTGAGAAAGGATTTGCTGGTGTTGAGGATGTACTGCGGTTTAACATCAGTTTGCTAGCAGAGCGCGCCGTTATTACACACGATATCCTAAAATTGACCCCGGAAAAGATAGCAGAAATCATTGAAGATAGAGGTTTCGGCGCCAATGTCCTATCAACGTTAGCCGATATGTCAGATCACTCGGGGGGTTCTTCGACGGCTCAGTTCAAGATCTACGGCGATCCGGACGCTGCGGCTGCTAAAACCATCGAGGATACGCTGCTCGCTCTTCCCGGTGTTAGCTCGGCTAAGCTGAGCACGTCCACGTCTAGGCTAACCGTATCTCATCAGCCAAGCCTGACGGGATTGCGCTTGCTTGTAGAAGAAGTGGAAAAGCTAGGATTTAATGCTTTAGTCGCCGACAATGATGATAACAATGCGCAGTTAGAGTCTCTGGCAAAGACGAGAGAGATTCAAGAGTGGAGAAGAGCATTCCAGGTCTCACTATCCTTTGCCGTCCCAGTATTCTTTATCGGCATGGTTTTCCCTATGATGATTCCTATCTTGGATTTCGGTGGCTTAGTACTACTTCCCGGTCTCTTCCTCGGCGATGTTATCTGCTTGATTTTAACGATACCCATCCAATTCGGCATAGGCAAGCGCTTTTACGTTTCGGCTTTCAAATCCATCAAGCACAAGTCCCCAACTATGGATGTCCTTGTTGTTCTAGGTACATCCGCAGCCTTTTTCTTTAGCGTTTTCGCCATGGCTGTATCCCTCCTATTTCCGCCGCATAATCGACCGAGCACTATTTTCGATACCAGTACTATGCTTATCACGTTTATCACACTCGGTCGATTCCTAGAGAACCGCGCAAAGGGTCAGACTTCAAAGGCCCTCTCACGGCTCATGTCCCTAGCTCCATCCATGGCCACCATATATGCCGATCCAATTGCTGCCGAGAAGGCAGCAGAAGGTTGGGACATGGCTAAATCGAAAAAGCCGGAGACCCCAACCCGCGATGGTAACGCAGAGGAGGCAAAGGTTATTCCTACCGAACTAATTTCAGTTGGCGATATTGTGATCATCCGCCCGGGAGATAAGATTCCCGCCGATGGAACTATCGTACGAGGTGAAACCTACGTAGATGAGAGTATGGTTACCGGAGAGGCTATTCCAGTCCAGAAACGAAAGGGCAGCAACGTGATAGGTGGCACTGTCAACGGGCATGGTCGAGTCGATTTCCGCGTGACCAGAGCAGGCCGGGATACGCAGCTGAGCCAAATTGTCAAGCTCGTGCAGGACGCGCAGACCACCAGGGCCCCCATTCAGCGGTTAGCCGACACTCTCGCCGGCTACTTCGTACCCACCATCCTGATTCTTGGTTTTCTAACATTCAGCACGTGGATGGTTCTCAGTCACGTTCTTACCAACCCACCGAAGATTTTCTTACAAGCTGAAAGCGGTGGCAAGCTGATGGTCTGCGTCAAACTTTGCATATCCGTGATTGTATTTGCCTGCCCGTGCGCGCTCGGTCTAGCTACTCCTACCGCGGTTATGGTGGGTACAGGTGTGGGTGCAGAAAACGGTATTTTGGTCAAGGGCGGTGCTGCTTTAGAGGCTACGACTAAGATTACTCAAGTCGTCCTTGACAAGACGGGAACCCTTACGTATGGCAAGATGAGTGTTGCGAGCATCAAGATGCCATCCGGCTGGCAGGACAAGGAGTGGCGACGACGTCTTTGGTGGACGATTGTGGGTCTGGCCGAAATGGGAAGCGAACATCCAGTTGGTAAGGCCATCTTAGCAGCGGCACGGAACGATCTCGGCTTGGATCCTGAGGCAGCTATTGATGGTAGCATTGGTGAGTTCAAAGCCGTCGTCGGGCGAGGTATCAGTGCGCGTGTCGAACCCGCCAGTGCCGAGCGTACCCGTTATCAAGTGCTTGTCGGGAGTGTTCGTTTCTTGCGAGAAAACAAGGTCGAGGTACCAGAAGACGCAGTTGAGGCTTCGGAAGAAATTAATTCCAAGGCAAATAAGTCGAAAGCTTCTTCTGCCGGAACGACAAACGTCTTTATCGCTATCGATGGTAAATACGCCGGTCATCTCTGCCTAGCAGACACTATCAAGGAAGGGGCTGCGGCGGCCATTGCGGTTTTACACAGCATGGGAATCAAGACCGCTATTGTTACCGGTGATCAACTATCTACTGCGTTGGCTGTTGCATCGTCTGTCGGCATCTCGCACGACAACGTGTATGCTGGCGTATCTCCAGACCAGAAACAAAGCATCATCCAAGAAATTCAAGACAAGGGTGAATGTGTCGCCATGGTTGGTGACGGTATCAACGATTCACCCGCATTGGCCACTGCCGATGTTGGTATCGCCATGTCTAGCGGTACAGACGTAGCCATGGAAGCTGCGGACGTCGTCCTCATGCGACCAAACGACCTTATGGATATCCCTGCCGCCCTCCACCTTGCCCGTACCATCTTCACGCGTATTAAACTCAACCTTACTTGGGCTTGTATGTACAACCTCGTCGGCCTACCTTTCGCCATGGGTCTGTTTCTTCCCATAGGATGGCATCTTCACCCTATGGCCGCGGGTGCCGCCATGGCTTGCAGTAGCGTTAGTGTTGTGGTTAGCTCGCTACTTCTGAAGTTCTGGAAGCGGCCTCAATGGATGGAGGAAGCTTTGCTTGCGGATAAGGGTGGGCTTAAGAAGCGCGGCCGCGGTTGGGGCTTAGATGGTATTGTCACTAGAGTCCAGGACCTTGCGGGAGGGGTGCTGGGTAGAAGGTCGAGGAAAGACGAAGGATACGTGCCATTGGACACGTTGGACCGTCCCGAGGCATAGTGGCCTTTTTGCATACGGCGCTAAAATACCTTTTGGGTTATTCGGATCGCGTTTGGATTTTCAACGGACGCATTGCATTATGGCGTTGAGGAGCGTTCTACTCTATACATACACCTACCTATATATATTCGCTGTTCCCAGTATTGTTCCCCATGTTTATAAATAAATTAGGATATTATTTAAACAATGAAATTCTCAAAGCCGGGACGGAATAGGTGCTCAAGCTAACTTTTGCGGTACCTGTGACTAATTATGTCGGCTAGGCCTGATGTGTGTTAGTACCAGCATATTACGCACGGGTAGTCCCTGTTATTTTCTTGATTCTGTGCTGCTATCGTAAGTGTTTTAATGCTTGGCCAGCAAATTCGGCGCGGGGGTTCCTGGATGCATGAAGAAGATATCGATCGATTCAGCCCTAGAGCCGCATTGCAGCCGCATTCTGTACTAGGTCTTGTTTTTTTTTTTCCTCGTTGCTACCTAACCTAGCAATATCAGTATCGAACAGACCTTCATAAAACATTTTGATAACTGGTTTTCCCGACTATATATATATACCTATATATACTTGATCTACATCAGTGTGTCTGTCTATATCAGTCATAGTTACATACACGTTATACGTACATAACATAGCCAGGGTGACTCACAATGGCGAGAATGGGATTATCCAGTTTCCCCAGCTCTCCCTTCGGGGGCCTCAGCGGGCCAAATAGTACTCCGATCCGAGTCCTCATCGCGCTCGCCCCCGTCGCTATCCCCGCTGCTTATATCGTCTATCTCCAGCGCTCGCTTGCGCGGCACACCGCTGCTTCGGCACTCATCTCACCGCCAGATTCCTTGTCCTCCGCTTCTTCGGCCGAAGGCGCCAGCGACAAGGATGCGCTCCCGTCTGACGTCCGGCATCATCCGGAGCAGTACGTCGTGGCGCGGGAGCGCGTGACTTCGGCCCTGGTCCCGGTGTCGTCGCTTCGGCCGGAATTCATCTCCAAGAAGGGTAATCTGAGCGGCCTGCTGGATTCGTATCTCAGCGCTACTATGACGGCGTTCTCGTGGACGCCGCAGGCGCTGCTGCTGGCGCGCATGGCCTCGTCGCTCCCGGATCCGGAGGCGTACAGGCGCACTTTCGACGCGGAGTACCTCGCCGCGTGCCGCTTCCGGCCGGGGGACCGCGTGTGCGGCGTGTACGTTGTGAGGAGCCGCAGCCGGAGCAAGGGGCGGGTGGTGTTGGATTTGGCGCCGCCGGAGGGGTGGACGGGGCCGGTTGTTGGGGGGGCGCTGGTTGTTGGGTTTGATGTTGTTGATGTTGATCGTGCGGGGAGGGGGAGGAGGAATGAGAGGGAGAGGGAACGAGAGGGGAAGGGGAAGGGGAAGGATGAAGGGGAGGGGGAGGTTAGGTTTGTGAATGAGACGGTTATGTGGAGGGAGAAGGAGGGGGGGAAGGCGACGCTGTTGGAGGGGTGGGTTGGGAGGTGGTTTCATACTATGATGGCTAGGTGGTTGGTTGTTAAGGGTGTTGAGGCTGTGACGGGGGGGAAGAATGAGTAGAGATGTAGGTGCCTAGTTTGAAGATATGGTTTTGGTATATAGGCATGGGTATAGGTAGCATCGCTCTGGTCCGAAGTATTGCATAATTCCCACTCCATGTTTATTCTTTATCTCATAGCTAAGACAATTAGGGCCTATCAAATCTTGGTACTATTCGATTGGGCCTTTAGTAAACCTCAGCCGTAGCTTAAATAGGCTATCCTAACTACCTGGTTAGGATAGGATATTGAGCTACCAGGTGTGATGGTATATATATCAACATCGTATATCCGTGTCTTTCTGAGCTAGCTATGTAATTGTATACGCATCCGTTGTGCTAAAGTATATTCGTGTAAACACCAACCTTTTTATCCCCCCTGACCTTTTCTAATTTAGCTTCGTTAAGTTGCGTTTCATGTCGTAAATCTTCGTATGGGCTTGGTGGCTATGAACATATCATAATAAACTGTTTCTTTGGAATGTATTCCTTTGGCCTAATATGCTGAATCTAAGAATTGTTAGTCTCACTGAGGTGCTGCCTAGGTGCTATATGACTCACGTGTTGCCCGCCCGTCAAACATGTATAAGAAAACCCAAAGTGCTCGAGCAGCCGTTCCGCCGGCTATAACTAAAGCCGTAACCTGGCCAACAGCATATAAAGGTGATGTTTTTTGTACCATATTAATATTCATCGTGACTTCGGCTGAGACCATACTAAGGAGTGCGAGGACGCTGCTTTCTAAGAAGTTTATGCTGACTGTTACTGAATTTTCAGAGTATCGTTCGCCAGCTAGCAGTACTGAGTAGCCGGCGTCAAGGTCGCTGTGTCCACACTTTTCGCATCTGTAGCAATCCCGGCAGATATCGCCGTTTCGTAGAATTATAGCGTTGAAAGAGTCGTTCTGTATCGGTACGATAGGTTGATGCTGATGACAGCGCTCCCTCCTCTTGCATACTTTGCAATAACGGCATTTTTCGCAGAGATGACATTGGCAGGAAAGACTCCGCGGTGTTCCTTCGCGACATTTATCACAAGGGTCACATGGGTTTTCTCTATCCCACTTCTCAGCATCGTCATAAATCCCTGTCCGCGTGATGGCGAAGTAGCCCCCGTGAATAATGTTGATAAACCGATAACCGAAATAAATCCAGAAAGGTTCGATTTCGTTCGGAGACGCCGACGGACAGTTACTCAGCCACGCCCACCAGAAGGCAGAGAAGCAGTCGCAGTCTCTAGTAGGACGCAAATTTGTAATGAAGTTACCCACCAGGATACCTTCTATAATCAGGCCAAGCAACTGAGCTATTAAAACTATTGCCACTTGCCATCGAGCTGCTAGAGTTTCCTTCGTTACTAGTTGAATAGAGAGGGAATTTCCTTGCGCATCGAGGATCAAAGACCCCAGTATTGCGTCAATAGGGGAGAGTTCTCGACGAGCCAATGGAACAAGAAGCGCAATGGCCAAAGACACGTGAGTGATAATTAACCCGCCACCAATCTCTTTCACAGCCGTCTTATAGTAATGGAATATTCCCGTAAGAGTGATAAAAAATAATATTCCAACTTGTGTCCAGGCGGCCGCGCGAACACCATCGCCAACTATATCAGCATCAGCATTTTCACACTGGCCAGGTTCGTCTGGCCCCTTTGCTCGCAACCCTACGAAGGACACGCAGCCGAGTAGTAGGGCTAGGAATGCCGATACATATCCAAATACGACTAAGAACCTGGCGTTTGGCTTCCGCGTATTATTAAACAAAACTTCAAGTATAATTAGGATGACTTTACACGTCAACAAGATAATTATGGCATAAAATCCAACTTGAAAAGACGCCATATTGTCAACTATTGGGTTGCGAATATTACAATAACGACGTCTTCGGGCGAGGGGGCTACATAGCAACTCCTAAGTATCCAATAGGACATACCATTGCATCTTTCGAATTTTTCTTTTTGCTTTCTGCAGAGCCTCAGAGTCTACTTCCGAGACCCCTTACTATGCCTCACATCATCTTACCTCTATCTTACCTCTATGTAGAATTGCCTTCCTGTATAGTAGAAGCAGGCTATAGGCGTACTATGCTTGTATCCTCGAGATTTTACCCCTCTCTTCATTCCGCTCTTTTATTCTTGCAGATTATAGTAGCATACGGGACGCACTGCATATGCGAGTCTATTTTGCTTTACCATGTTAATACGAGTGTGGCATACAATGATTGGCCTATATTGGGGGCTAAGCAAGCGATCAGCTGTGGCGCTACAACCGATGCAAATATCTTTTCCAGCCAATAACAGGCCCTTGTCGCCTCTCTCCCTCCCGATCGTCTCACAATGCGTCTCCAGATGATGATTTTACGGCCCAAAGCTGACCACATATCACGCCTATGACAACAGTTCTGTCAGCATGCAACACCCCATTTATATACTTCCGCACCTCCGCGCTTATTCTAGAATTTGTGAATTTTTTCAACCATCCCTCCTCCACCAGAACCACTCCCAGTCAAGGCATATCGTTCGTTATACATATCACGCCGTCAAGAGTAGTTCTATCAACTTCAAACTATTAAAAAGAAAACAAAAACAAGAGAACGAGAAAATGCCACGATCAGCAACATCGAATTCATCAAGTTCGCTCACATCTTCAAGATTTAAGTGGCCATTTTCATTCCATAACGCCAGCAACCTGGATAAATATCGCCTGCCAAGTTTCGTATCTCAAGCACGACGGTCGTCTTCTCGAACATCAACGCAAACTTCATTTGAATCAACACATACAAACGGCAACGGGTTCCTAAACCCCAATTCCAGGACACTAGTCTAAATATAGGCTATGAATATCATCGGGTAACTCATGTGGTTAGCAAGACACCCCTTATAACTAAGCAACAACGATCAATGAGCACGACTGAAAATTATAATTACAGGTAAACATGCATTCATTAACTGTTTGATTGTAATCTGTACTGTTTCCGGTTGCTCATACTACGCAATCGTGCTATACGATAAACTAGTATTAGACAGCTTGTCTAATAGCCAGTGTGTGTACCACCGCAGACCCCACAAGAGTGTCTTTACAACCATCAACACGATCGTATGTGAGGAGTTGGCGGGTTATGTATACAGTATGGGTATAGAAGAATTTTTCATTCTTTAGGATATCGAAGCGGTAGAGATATATTGTACTAGTCTTGGAATTTTCAGATAGATTAGGTCAAATGAATACCATAATTGCTATTATGATATTAACGATGTTTTGAAAAATGAGCAATGGAAGTCTTTATGAATGTAGCTTTCGTAGGTCTTTTCGTATATCCGGAAAGCTTTAAGTCTTACGCTCGTTAATTCTTGTAGTGTATCAAATTCAGCGTGGGAGCCCAAGGATTATTAATGTGTGCCATAAGGGGTCTTATTGTCGCGACAACTTCATTTATTAGTAACGTACGGATACATGTTTTCTTTCTGCGACTGAAAATGTCCCTGGAGAACATGTTGAGTAAATTTGACTAAGAGATACGTGATATAAACCACGACCCCAACAAACTTTTAAGGCCACTTTAATTCCATTCCCCCGTAAAGGTCGAAGATATGACATAGATAAGATGATGTTAAGGGCTATTCGTAGAATTTTCAGGTCTTCGAATTCAGCAACAGCCATAATGATTGACTATGCTAGACCAGCCGGTGTGAGTTATTAAATCCCCGCTCGTTCTGCTGGGTTATATGGGTGGTGAATAGATATATCCTGGATGAGCATAAGAGTACTGTATATTTAGGTTAACGAGCTAATTGTTATTTTTGGGTTGAAAGGCTTTTCGTCGTTTGAAGGTCGAAGTTCGAGACAACTAGACGCCAAATGGATTATGTTAGACCTGTACGAATAGACTATTAAGATATTTGCGTTAAAGAGCTTGTGACCATCTAGCCTCAGAAGGATATATGGCTTCTTAGAGTTTAATAGAGTTATGTTCCCACGTGTTTCTCACATCCTCACAAACTGAAATATTGATTGACTTGAAATATAAATAGTTTCATCCTAAGTGGAGTTGATCCCTGAAATTCAACAGATGCGCGTTTCTATCTTAATAAAAAAAAACTTCCTACATAGGAACTACCATTTAAGTGCCGATAGGAGTTGAAATAGGAAATACATACCCGAGCCGTGAAAGTTTATCTCAATTTTATCTAAAGGTCGTGCGTAATGAAACTTCCCTCCTTCTCCAAGATCGGGCCTAAAAAAAGCCAATGCGGGACCGCCCAGACTTGGCCCCAAACAAGACCATCGCGATATCCACCTTACAAGCGGCCCTGGCGGCTCGGTCGCACCTTACTAAAAGGATAAGCTCAACAGCTACGGCTCTTGGCAACTTGGACTTTGGACGAGCACGTGGCCGTGCGACATCTTTACAACTGCACTGCTATGATTTCACTAGGTTAGTGTTGTTGATTTCTCACGATCCCATCTCATGTTACACTAATATAGTAAACCGCCACACCACTATCTCATATGTAAGTCAAAAAATTAAAATTTATTAATAGTATAAACAAGTAGTTAACTAATAGTATAACGTTACCTTACTATGATTTTACTTAAGCGAGCAGACCGAGCAGTCCGCCTGAATCCGGGATAACCCTCCGAATATTGACGAAGAGATATTTCTAGTGGCTCGGATGAAGTCCTGTGGCTTAATCGCAGAATAACCACCCCCCACGCCCTCGTGACCGAAGTCCCTTTCGAGTCAGAATTTGATGTACGTCGTCGGTTCTCCAATGCCTTGACAAGCTACGACACCATCAGCTAAGCATTATCGTATGAGATACCAAGTGCCAAGCTAAAGCTTGTTACGGTACTGAATGCGACATCTCTGCATAATAGCTCAGCGCTAGTATCTGTCTAGTTCTCGGGCTAAACAACTAAGGGGGGATGAAATTTTGTCCCTATTGTGTGCGGTAAGTATAATACATCGATAAGAGCACGAAAACGTGGGTAACATATAATTTCACTAACGTATCACTCGTAGAACGTCAAGTTGATCAATCTTAAAATACATACCGAGGTCCTAGAAGCATATGTAAACTTCGATCAAGGCATTTTCTGTCACACGTGCTTCCGTCGCGTAGGTGTGTGCTGCGTACTTTCGAAGAAAGCATATCATTGGACGTGTGACGAGCGCTGAACTTCTTATTTCTGTTCTAGAATTATTCCATTGCGGGAAGGCAATTGTTGTCGTTTGATGTTGATATCAGCAGCTGGCCCGACTTGTCATTTAACTCGAGGACCCCTTGCCAGTAGCTTTCCGGGCGTCTGGGCAGACGGGGTCCCCCGTACTCCATGGGAACCGTTCACAACGGCAGATCTTCACACGTGGGGTCCTCTGAGGCCTTCCATTGGCTCACGCGAGCCCTGGGGTCCGTTGGAGTCTTGTGCCCCGCCAAGAGCCTCAGCCGCGAACTCGCCGCGAACTAGAGTCGCCGGTCTATCAACCCTTACAGATTTGCATATTATCACGGATATTGAAATCCTATCTTGTGTCGCCAAGATGCGCCAAGTAAGCCAATTCTGCCTCGACATTGGCAAGAGATACAAGCCTTGCCCAGCCGGGTAGGCCTAGATGTGGATGGGAAAACGGCCGACAGGCCGCGCTCGTGAAAGTGGCTTTCCTGGCCAAATCACAAATCATGGTTTTGCGAAGTGTGAACAATACAAGGTAAACCCTGTGTTGGTCAGGATTCGGTGCCCCTCGGTAAGGCCATATGAGGTAGCTTTGAACGACCTTGATACGTTGTGGAGATAGGCTCGGGTAGGACCTATATATTCTCCCTATCACCCTTTGTCTCTCTTTCTACCTCTCTCTCGATAAACAGCGACTTGTTATCAAGGAGAAATCGACCATCGACCATCGACCTTCGATCTTCGACATCGATACCGACATTGACGGCCTCTGTCCGCGCGTGTCAAAATGGAACTCGACCAGTACACTTACATCTTCGCCATTGGCACTCTGTTTGCCATGCTTGATGCCTTCAACAATGGTGCCAGTAAGTAATCTCTTATCCGACCAATCAAATTCGTCTCTACGCGTGTATCCGAGAAAGCTCTTCAGGCGTTAACAGTTTCTTCTTTAGATGATGTTGCAAACTCCTGGGCTACCAGTGTCTCGTCGAGATCCATCTCGTACAGACAAGCCATGATATTCGGTACCGTATTCGAAATGCTCGGAGCTATCACAGTCGGTGCCCGCACGGCCGATACCATCAAGAATGGTATCATCCCCTACACAGCTTTCGGCGGAAACGCCGGCGTTCAGATGCTCGCTTTCACTTGTGCCTTGGCTGCCGCTTCGTCTTGGGTTATGTGGTGCACGCGACACTCGGCTCACGTGTCATCAACCTACTCTCTCATCTCCGCCGTCGCCGGTGTCGGTGTCGCAACCGTCGGCGCTTCGCACGTCCAGTGGGGTTGGAACAACGGTAAGGGTCTTGGTGCCATCTTTGCCGGTCTTGGAATGGCTCCCGTCATCGCTGGAGGCTTCGGTGCCGCATTCTTCATGCTCATCAAGCTCGTCGTTCACATTCGCAAGAACCCGATTCCCTGGGCTGTCTACTCCTCCCCTTTCTTCTTCCTCGTTGCCGCCACCGTCTGCACGCTTTCCATCGTGTACAAGGGTTCTCCCAACCTCAACTTGAACAAGAAGCCCGGTTGGTACGTAGCTGCTGTCACTATGGGTTGTGGTGGTGGTGTCGCCCTCCTATCGGCCCTTTTCTTCGTCCCCTTCGTGCACGCAAAGGTTATCAAGCGGGATCACACGGTCAAATGGTGGATGTTTGTCCAGGGCCCCCTCCTCTTCAAACGCCCGGCTCCCGAGAGTTCGGATATTGCCAACGTTCCTAACTATGCCGTCATCCAAGACGAGGAAGAAGAGCACGCTTCCACCCGTTCCGAATCCGTCTCCGACCACCCGGCTACTTCGAGCTCTAATGAGGAGAACGAGAAGAGGCTCGCTACGATCGAGGCTAGGCAAACCACTTACAAGGAAATCGTTGCGGATAGTGAGGGTAAGCTACACGAGAAGCTCCTAAAGAGCCGCGGACCTATGGGCTGGGCTATGCGCACTCTCCGTGA